TATAATGTATCTTAAGAAATATACAAAGTACAGCAAATAATGTACAAATTATTGTAAATGTACAAAACTATAGCAAATAACGAGTTTGTGAGGGTTTGTCCAGGGCTAGAGACCTGTGTTTGTGTCCCTCCAGCCCTCCCAGGGAAGACATGATTAATCACTGGCTGTCTCTATTAGTCAATCCTCTCTGGGGACGATGTGGACACCTACACCACACTGCACGCACACATAGTGGGGCGGTCTATAGGAAAAACATTAGGCCTGCACATTAACACACACATAGATATATGCAAAGCTTTGACACAGCCTTAGGTATTTGCAAACCCATGTCCACTCACAAACACACCCTTTCACTATATAGGTGTTCATCAGTCTGTGCTGATAGACAGATGATTTAGTGTGTGTTCTTTTGTGTGAATCCTCTCCAAAGCTGCCAAATGACCAGCTCTCTGTTTGTGAGTGAGTGTGCATGTGTGTATGTATGTGTGTTTTCAGGGAGACAAGTGACAGGGAGGTGGTTTAGGTCCCGACAAGCGCTTGACCAAACCATCATGACTCCATTACTGAGCCCATTGATTGTGTACGGATGAATTAAAGAGCCAGTTTCAAGAGGCACACACACTCATTTTCTCTTCACACACGGACAGAGGGGCACACATACACACAATCACACACTCTGGTAACAGATCCCATCATGCACACATAACAGAGTGAGAGTAACACTCTGTCAGTAAACCATCTGACATGTTAACAGATAAAAAAGGAAAGAAATGAATTGAAGTACACAAGAAATTACAGTACATGCATTGATAGCGTTACAATTTACATTTTACTTAGTATTTACAATTTACATAGTACATTTTAGGCTATACCTATTAACAATGTGCAAACTTATAGAATAAACAGAGCTGTATGATAATGACTCTGTGTGAACAGACTATGTCATTCCTACACAACCTCTTATGTCAGGTTATGTGACTTCATGTTGCAAATGGCCACGTAAGAGAGACTGAAGATTTATCGGCTTTAGAATGGGTCTGGACCTCTCTTTGTTTACTCCTGCAGACTGTGATTGCTTTGGCATGACTCAAATTATCTTGTCAGGGCAATAAAGCTGACCGCTGCTGAAGAGAGGAGGGGAGAGAGAGAGAAAGGAAGATGTGGGGAGATGTTGAGGATATGTATATATATATATATATATATATATATATATATATATACTCAATCACAAACACACAAAAATAAAAAAATATATAATCATTTTCAGAGCTATTTGGAAAATATTTTACATTTTTAATATTATATTTTAAAATGGATAAATTTCTCTTTTATTTCATTATCTATTTATGTGGTATATTGTTATTTATATTATTAGTAGAACATAATATGTATAATAAAAGTAATAATAATATGTAATATAGGCCTATACACATATATCATGAAAGAAAGAAAGAAAGAAAGAAAGAAAGAAAGAAAAAGAAAGAGAAATAGGTGAGAGGAGATAAGACAGGGGAGAGCACAGAAAACAAATAAAGGGCCAGAAAATTAGAAATAGAAGTGCAGTATGTTGCTGGACAGACTTGGAGGGAGGGGAGAGAGGGACGAGCGAGAAAAGGGTGTTGAGAGAAACAGAGACACACAGAATTGTAATCGATTACCTATTTTTCAAAGTCACTTAAAGTGTCCAGAGTGTGGGGCCGTTAAGTAGTGGTGCTGGTGAATAGGGGATGGGTATGCGTAGGCACGCATGACTGGGAAGAGGAGAGAAGAGGGAGGAGGTGGAGAGATGTATGGGGTGGGAGGGGGAGTTTTGGGATGCTAACACTGACCCAACACTGCTAGCTCCTCACTGATGAATCTGTGCTTTTGCAGGAAATAGTTCTGACAGGCCAATATGTGAGCAGAGGATATGCGACCCCGGAGGGACTATGCCGCATGTATGTGCACGTGTGTGAGCGTTTACATGTGTTTGTGCGCATGTTTGTCTGCGTGAGTGTGTGTGTGCATAGACTGGACTGTTAGCGATCATCACCCTCTCAAACTGCGCACACAACATGTCAAGACAAACACAACAGTGCCCTCTGAAGTCAAGGACGGGTTCATACTGAGCCCAGGGTTTTATGTAGAGAGAAGAACTAGGATTACAGCCCCACTGCGTGTGTGTATGTGTGTGTTTGTACATCTGTTTGCAACCTGCCCTCAAGTTACCTCATCATCTCGAGAAAAGATGCTCACTAACCCCTACTGCAACAGATCAATAGCTGCCTCCCAGACATTAAGACCAAACTGCAAAACACCAGAAGTTTGTTACACACTTACACACTTTGATAATTGGACACTGCTTTTTCGCTGTGTGAAATGGAAGGTGTTTTTAAATCTTTATGTCTGTTAAACACATTAAATAAAATGTTATCAGAGAACTGACAGTGTAAAATATTAGGACATTATCGCTAACTATAGTTTTTTTTTAGAACCATTTATGTCATTTGAAGAAAGTGTACAACTCTTAGTAGTAAATTGTTTAGTACTTTAGTCCAAAGGTGTGATATCCTCACTTCCTGTTTGTGTATGTATTTGCGATTTGAGTTAGGTAAGCAGACTCACCATGTGACTTACAGCTGTAGTCTGTCGGTAACAGTGAGTTCATCCAGGATATCCTGTTTGAGGGAGTATCTATTGTCCCAAAGGGCTAAAAATAGTCGCTTTGATTGGCTAGCTCCAGATCTGAGAGATTGAGGGATATAAGAGTGAAACAGGAAGTGTTTTTTCGCTCATTTACGGAGCTGCACATTAGATCATTCACATGCAAAAGATGTGTTAGTTACTCAGAGGCAGCCATAACACACTCACGCACCCACACAGATGGATGGACTTTTATAAAAATAAACACGGCCATGTGTTCAGATGTGAACGCACATACACATACCTACTTGTTTATGATAAAATTATGTTTGTGTTTAGGTGGATATACTATAAAAAGCCTCGCAAGGATTGCAAAATCATCAGTGTTCATGTGTTTGTAACTGTTGTGTCACCTTATTGTTTAATTCACTGTGCATTTCACCTTAACTGAGAATAATTGTACTTTATATTACAGTGTCTAATGAAATGTTGTCCATTGGTGAGTTGATAAATGTATATGAAGTGTGTGTGCGAGATACAGCTGAAGTGTCACAAGCTCAGTGGCGTAACTGTCTGTGTGGAGCTGTGGATCTAGTTTAATGAGGGAACAGGAGACGGGAGGCCGAGGATGACGAATTCTCCTTCGGCAGAAATCTGAGCCACTTAATCCACACAGTCCAGAGAGAAGAAAAGACTTTGAGCACTCATCTGACCCATGCTCATCTCCAAATTTACTGTATAAAAACTGGGATAACACTTCTGTGTTCTAGGGTGTTCTTACAGGATCTCCCCAAAAATGTAATCTTCTTTTAAATTGTGTTTTGGGGATCTTGTCCCTTTTTAATAGTTTTAGTTAACAATAAAAACACTTGCTCTGACCAGCAATGGAAACTTGAATGTTTAGGCATGTCTACAAATTTCCCAAACTCTTTCATAATAATAAATAAACCTCATCTTCTCTTGTTCTATCTTTCTGTTTTTTCTCTCAGGTAAGAAGAAGGTGTCACTCTATGACAGTCAGGCTCCCATCTGCCCCATCTGTCAGGTGCTGCTGCGTCCAGGGGAACTTCAGGAGCACATGGAACAGGAGATGGAGAGGCTCACCCACATGCACATCAGGTAGACTCACACATCTATACCTGCCGTCTTCTGACAGCTCCATCAGTTCTTGTCAACGTTTCCCAAACAAATGAAGCACATTGGCTGCTCTCCCTCACATAAGAGTTTGGTCTAAAAATCAGCAGTGAAGACACCTGCTACTGGTGTAATGCTCCAGTGATAACAAAGACCAGCAGCAGAACAGGTGCTTTTCCTCCCTATCATCCATCAGCACACATGCGCTTAGGCCTTTCATGCGGCCAGGTTAAGCATGGTGGGATGATCACAGAGATCCAGCACAGTATCCGTCATTCATCCACTGCCTGAGGCTTTCAGACTGGTACATCAACTTGACCCAGTTAAATAGCTGTGTTCTCATACAGCGTCCGCCCAAACCAGGCAGGAAGTTTCATCCTGTGAGCTTGAAGGAACATTAGCCATAACAAGAAACAATGTCGTTTGAATAGGTCACAGACATGTCATAGACCTCAAGCTGCACATTGTGCTGCATATCCCCCTTTTTGTTTTAATAGATTATGCTGCTGGGCTTCGAACTGGGACACAGGGAGAAAGAGAGAGGGAGATATTAATTCTCAGCAGGATGTCTTTCCAGCATGAGTGTTATCCATCACACGGCGGTGAGGAGTTATGTTTTAATAATTAATAAAGGGCAGTGGGCCGCCCTCCCTTGCGGGCAGTGGCTGTGGACACTGACATGGCTCTGGGCCTCTGTTGCCCCTGCCTGATTGATAGTGGTGGTTATTTAAGGAAATTGCATCATTGCTCCAGGCCTGTCAGGGTTGGATGCCGCTTGGCATTACAGGCCCATGATTTAGCCTTTCCTGCACTCCTTTTAACCCCTGCTTGTAGCCGAGAGAGTTATTTTCCCAGGCTATAGGCAGTCCAATCGCTTAATACTGATTTAGGATATAGAGAAAGGGAGAGATGGACTGAAAGAGAAATAAGGCTGTTTGCAATTGAATAGAGATTTAGATGCCTTTAAGTGAGTAAAAGGGGAATACTACTTCACTGATTTCATAATTAGCCATTTCATAATTAGCATTAGCCATAATAACGAGACTTATTTTCTCTTTCCATTCTGCACAGAATTTTCATTTTTGGGTGAATTATCCCATTAATTGATGTCTATATTGAGCATCATTTTGGACCAATTAGATTTCACTGTGGGTGGGGCTACCCAAAATAAATAAATAAAAACAAGTGATCAAAAAAAATTATAAAAACACTTTATCACTCACTTTATCATCTGGTAAGAACATGGAATTTTGTCATGGTTTAGTAGTATTGCAACAGTTACTGATATCTTTCCTGTAAATCTGCAGTAAAATTAAAATTATCCCATTTCAGTTAATCTACATCAACATTTGCATCCACAATATTGAACTAGATTTAGGCATTCCTGAAGTACACAGAGCAGTCACCGCATTGCTTCATCGATTCGAACGCTATCAGTGTGGAACTCTGGGCTCCCGTCTTCCTTCCCTGTATACTTCCTCACAGGCGGGGCTCTGCTCAACACACGCTAGCACACACAGATCATTGGAAGTGACATGGCGAATTTGTGGCAATTTGTAGTAAATCTCCCTTTAATGATAGCGTTTCATTCTGCACCAAATGAGACTTGAGTGTATGTAAAATGGGGAAAGCTATTTAAGATGTAGCATTAGGCAGATGTCTGAGTGGATGTGGGTGAGTGTGTATGAGATTGGAACCCGCCGCCGCACTCCCCTCTCTCTCCCTCCCCTGTGGCTGCATCGCCATGCCCCCTCCCCTGACTCGTCCTCTGCTCTTCATGTATGGAAATGGAAATCCATCATGCCCTTTACCCGTCTGCCTGCTCTGAGGGCCACAGCAATCTACATATTCCCCCACCCTTTCCCAGCCTCTCCACGTAATCAATTTGCCTCCAGCGGAGCGAGGGAGATCCGGGTGGCAAACGACACGAAAAGCAATCTTTATCTCCAGCTTAAAACCCCCCAACTGTCGACTGGCATTTATTCAATTTTCACCAGCTCTCTCACTCTCGCTCTCTCAGCCCTCTTCTCAGTCTAGCTGAATTTGGCTGCGAGAGGGGAAAGGGAAAGCTTGGCTTGTCCGGAGTGTGGAGTTTGTGGGATTTTGAAGTCAGTCGCACATGGTGAATCGTTTTAAACTGAGAATTTCAAAAAGATGAAAACTGTTTGATTGCTGAAGGTTTAGAGTTCATGCTGTATGAATCTATATACATACTGTATATAAGGGAGATATTAATACTGTGTCCCAACCAGACATGACACGATATAGTCTCATCATCTTGCTGCCTTCAAAAATTCATTACAATTTCATTGTTCATTTAATATTTACATTAGAACAGGAGGTTCAAACTGTTTTTGTTTTGTGAAAAATGTGAGAGGAAAGTGTAAGAAAGTTTAAATAATATGCTTTCAGTTGCTTTGGACCAGTATTTATTGTGAAAATTAGTATTAATGATTTTAAATTATTATTATATTATTAATATTATACTATTTTTCGAATAATATTTAAATAATTATTTTTGAATTTAGTGCAATGATAAGATAAATGTCAATGATTTCATTTTTAATATCACACTTTTCACACAATTTGCTCTTCATATTTTTTGGGTCCTTGGCACCAAAACATTTGAAACCCTCTGCTTATCGAGTAACGTCTCAAATTCGAGTTTTTGCCTCGTTTGATTAAACAGTATCTTGCCTAAAGATCACATGCACAATGCTTGCATGCTTCCATTAAAAATTGAATTATTATGCTTTATTATGCATAATATTATGCATTATTGTCTGCACACTAGTCCTAAATTAACTTGCTCTCTGTATACATAACATTACATAATGTCCCTCATGTCCTATAGTTCAGTTCCTGTGTGGTGTCTCTAAACAAGTAAAGAGTGTTTTCCTGTCATTGGCCTTGCCTGCGTGTCCCACCACTGGGAAAAGAGCATTTTGAGATACTCGGGTGTCCAATGAGTGCAGAGGGGGCATTTAGAACGCTACGGTGTATGAAGTGTATCTTAGTGTTGTTGTTTTTTTTTGACATGAGGAGATGTGTGAGGTCACAGAGATTCGCCGTGCCACACTGGGAAGATTTATGATGCCTAGGAGTCCGTTTATTATCTCATAAACAGCACGCTGCCACCGATGGGGCAATTTATCCCCTCTCAAGGCCTGGTTCCTGATTTGTGTTGTCTCTTTCTTCTCTGTCTCATCTTTTCTCTCTGTCCCCTTTTCTTTCTTTCCTCCCCTTGCTGTCAGATCAATCATGCCGACTACAGAAAAGGCGGGCTTGAGGCTTATTACCTGAGTGTAAGGGTGGGGCAACACTGCAAACCCCGCCTCCACCTGTCATTCATTACATTTGAGCCTCTTTAGCCAGTCCATATACTGTACTGTAACTTCATCTGTCACAGCAGGAACTAACACAAAGAGGATCCGTGTTCTCTATTGCTCTTCTCTCTGTTTCATTCGTCCAGTGACAAGTGTGCCTGCAGGATCAGACTTTCAGATTAGGGTGCAGGCTAATTCAATTTCTGTTCAACCGTCTCTCTGGGTGTGAATGCATGATTTAAAATGAACATGACAAAGGTGATGTTACCCCTGTCATTGTTTCTCAGGTCGTCATCGGTGGCCCATCTATGGAGCTCTAAACAAGAGATTCAGCTAGAGTGACAGACAAGGAAACAGACAGAGAGCGAAAACAGCAAGTGACAAAAAAAAGCAATGGAAAGAGAGATGGCAGGAAAAATATGAATGTTTCAGAGAGAAATCTGGTTTGATATGTTTTTCCCTATTGTCGGCGGATGCTTTAGCCGCCTCGTTTAATAATTCCTGCCTTTCAATCAGTCATCCTCAATCCACAATGTCCACGAGGCAAAGATTCAATGTACAATCCACCCGCCAGACTCAAGGAGTCGCCCCCCCACCCTTTTTTTCTCTCTGCCATTCTCTGCCTCTTTAATACAATGTTTACAAGCCAGTGCATTGTCCTCAACATATTTCAAAGTCCTAAGTGCCTAAGGCGTTTCACTGACAAATCAAATAACCGCAAAATCATTTATTTCCTTCTGCCTTAGTCTAACTGCGGGAGGGTTGCAGTTGGGGGGGATCAGGTCTGGATGGAAGCATCCATGAGAATGATTACTTCAATAAAAAAATTATAACCCAAATCTGCTTAGCAGCCGTACTTTTGGACAGTAATTGTTTCAAATACAGCATGACCCAGGGCTGCCTGGATTGAGTGGCGTAGAGGATGGGTTTGAAACTGCTTTCGATTTTTTCCTCCCCATTTTCCATCTCCAGATGATTAAAAGTGTGATTTGTGTGGCTTTGTTCTCTTTTGTCTTGGCTGTCCTCTCGAAGGCCCGCTCGGGTCCTAAGTGAGGCCAACAAGGGAGCGCTCAATATGACTGAGCTAAAGTGAGTGTTGATGGAGGAGACGTGTGTAGTCCAGCTCCTTAGGGGACCGAAGTTGCATCTCTGAAATGACAGATTGCAGTTTCTGTTCAGTCAAAAGGTGATGGGTTTTTAGCCAGTGCTGTGACACGTGATCAAAATAGATCAGCCATCATGGCAACAAGTTGCTCTTGCACATCACATTCCATCGAAATTAACATCAGCGCACATCAGCTGTGAACTTGTCCTTTTGAATGGCCATTTTGAGTCTGTTTCAGTCACATCGATTACACGCAGGGCCATAACCAGCTAGACATCGAGACATCGACCTCGATAATCAGAAGAGTGGTCAATATATGGGTTTTTATGGCAAATTCCTAAATTTTACATTTGGTTTCCTCAATTTTGATTACATGGCAATGGTTATAGCTATCTGAAGAATTTTACTGGTTACAGCCATCCCTCACAGTTCTCTCTTTTTTCCCCCTACAGCAAGAACCCATCACACAAAGACATCAGTGCAGCTCCAGGCACACCGAAGGTAAGATGTCCACCATCATTATGTTCACTGATAGGCTCAGCAACAATTAATGGCAATTAGTGCTCTATTTCATAGACAAAGATGTAAAAAGTGTCTTGTGTCACTATAAGAGAGAGTGGTCGCAAACATCTGGCTTTATTTCCTGCAGTAATTTATTTAGAGCTTTCAGTGTTTCCTGACTGCTTATTCAAAAGACCTGGACATGGAAAATGATACCCGTGTTTTTCAGTGTCATTGTCCTAAAAGGAGGAAGAGGCCAAGTGTACTTAAATCTCAATTAAATCTGCAACCACATTGATTGAATTATGTAGTGCAGTCACCACATGATTCACTATAGAGTTTTGATGTGCTACAAACAACTGTGTTTAATTCCAAGCATGGACATTAAACGTATAGTTCAGCCAAAATGATAACTCTGTCATCATTTGCTCACCCTTATTTTGTTCCACACCAAAAGAAAATATTTTGTAGATTTCATTGAATGGACAAAATCAGTTGAAACATTATTTAAAATATCCATAAAAGAAAGAAAGATGATGACAGAATTGTCATTTTTGGATGAACTTATCCCTTTAAGCTATGATTTTGAAGGAAGAACAAATTACAGGCTGATGTGACATTGTCAGTGGAGAGTATTGCGACACATCATGCATTTATCTTTCAGTTTATGGATTTTATGATGCCATGAACCTTTGCAAATGCCAGAAATACCAACCTCACATTCACTAAAGACATTCTCCTGATGCCTGAGATATATATTTTTACTTTATCTCTGAATAAATGCATATTTCCTGGTGAAGAAATGAACAAGAATGGTGATAATAATAAACCATCCTCATATGATTGTCCCTCATGCAGAGGGCAAACCCTTTGGTTCTGACCCGCAGTTGGAGAGAAACTGAGAGTATGGAAAGAACATGAGAGCCAGAAGACACAGGAGCAGGTTAGAGAACAGGCCGTGTGAGGCGTGACTGAGCATTCTATAGCACACACTTAGTATTCCGTTGGAGTGTGTGGAAAATGAAGAGGCTAGCTGGGATGGTGCATGGAGGGGGTCCATGATTCTCCTTTAAAAGACGGCGAGCAGCAGATCAGGCCCAGCTCGCTAGTTCTAAAGGGGATTAACCCCGGCCGAGTTGGCCCGTCTTTACCCCTCTCTCAAGCCGCCATTGCCATAGCGACTCCATGCCAGTCTTTGCGGCTCCTAATCCAACAGTGCAAAGGCCAACAGTGGTAGGCGGCACAGTTAACATGCTAACATCTGCAGCACTGCTACTGCTTGTGCTACACCTCAGTGTGCAACTTATACAATGATTAAATGACTAAATGATTAAATGTAAATATAAAGGTAATTTTCAAAGCAAAATCTGTTGAGGTTCATGTTGCACAGTAATCAAATTTATTAAACATAAATCTTTTAGCAAAGATAATGAATTATACACTACCGTTCAAAAGTTAGTAAGATTCAGTAAGTCAGTAAGATTTTTTTTAAAGAAAGTATTATTTTTATTCAGCAAGAATGCATTAAATTTATCAAAAGTGACTGTAAATGCATTTGTACGGTCACAGAAATTATTTTTAACTTTCTATCCATCAAATAATCTTGAAAAAAATGTATCATGGTTTTCACAAACTGTTTTCAATATTGATAATAATAAGAAATTATTACGATTTTTAGGAAAATATTAGGATAATTAATAAGGATCATATGGCACTGAAGACTGGAATGGCTGCTGAAAATTCAGCTTTGTCATCACAGGAATAAAATAGAATTAGTTATTAAAAAGAAAACAGTTATTTACCATTTTAATAATATTCCACAACATTACTATTTTTGCTGTATATTTTCATCAATTAAATGCAAACTTGTTGAGCGTAAGAGACCTTTTTTAAACATGAAATAATCTTACTGATCCCAAACCTTTAAACAGTAGCGTATAACCTTTATCATTATATTACATTATTTTATTAATTTTTACATTATAACATTCAAGTCAGATTACCTGGTACTAAACTTGCTGTTTATGTGCTTTGGGTGTATTATCAATTCTCATTGGACAATGAAACAGTAAAACATCACACACTAGATACAGTAGACCAGTGTAAACACTTAGTGCTCATACTCACTCTCTGGCACACACCGTATTCCCTGAGCTCCAAAGGTTTTGAGATCACAAATAAATTGTTTCCTGACCTTGCGATTCAAAAGCATAAGGAGCCATGCATAATGTCTAATTTACTGTCCCCGTAGAGAGAGGCTGCCATTTTTCACATATTAATATTAGATTACAGTTGTCAGCCGCTAAAGCAGCAACCCCTCCTCTCACTCTGATTAATCAGAGCAGATTGTAAAAACAAATATTTTATAGCCACCTCATAAAAGCAGGACGGAGATCAAGACTCTCGGGAAAGTAAGCAGTATTTCCCCTACCCCCGTTCCTCAGTCATTTGAGAAATTAAGTCAATTAGGCTTTCAGAAGGACAGGCCTGTTACGTCTTCAGGCACACAGCAGTATGTTTATAGGTCGATCAAAGTGTCCTGTCATGCTGTCTGGTGTCCTGCTTTCTGTCTGTTTCTCTGTCGTAGCCTCCATTACTCTAAACTCTGATGTCCTGTCAACACACATAGTTTAAAGCTGAAATGGCAGTTAATGGTTATCTGTCAACAATTGTTCACATCAGTAATATTGTTTCAACACACCGATTTTGGAGTTCTTGTATTTTTTTTAACTGGCTACATCATCAGTTCTGTGGATGACACGTTTGTCTAGTGGATGGCTGCTCACCTCTTTCTCTCATTTTTTGTTTCTCTCTCTCTCTCGCTAGTCTCTCCTGTTGTCAGTGCACATCAAACGTGAGGGCGAGTCTCCAGTTGTGTCCCCACTCTCCTCTGATGAAGCTCACCATTCTGACAGATACCAGGTGAGATGGGAACCCTCAGACAGAGAGTGTCTGTCACAGGTGCAGAGTGACAGACTGTGCAGTTCTGACCCTCTGAGCACAACGCCACACACAGACCGAAACTCTCCACTCTGATGCAGCCCTTCATTTCACTGGGTTTTAGCTTGTTGAGAGTGTCTCAATATGTGGGAGTTTCAAATTGAAGTGAAATCCGTGCACATTGTCAAAGCTGGTGCTTTACCTGAGATGTAATGAAACTGGATTTCTGTCAACAGAAAGTAATGACTTCAAAATAAACATTACAAAAATGTAGCTTGGTAACCACCACTTACTGCAGGTATTGTTACAGTTGTAAACATTAAAGTTGTAAAAAATGTGGGAGTTTCAAATTGAAGTGAAATCCGTGCACATTGTCAAAGATGGTGCTTTACCTGAGATGTAATGAAACTGGATTTCTGTCAACAGAAAGTAATGACTTCAAAATAAACATTACAAAAATGTAGCTTGGTAACCACCACTTACTGCAGGTATTGTTACAGTTGTAAACATTAAAGTTGTAAAAAATATATATAGTTAAATACCGGTATAGTAAATTAAATATAGTAATTTTGACACAAATTAAGTTACATCAATTTACATTTATAAATTAAACTAAATGTCCTTGAAAATGAAAAGATTTTACCCCAAATGTTTTAAAACAACATAATGAAGTGACGTATATGTGTATCCAGCTTTTCTCCTCCACAATATCCTCCATCTTATCCCAGACTGGATCTGACTGCCGGACGTATTAATACAGGCTGAAATCTGTTCTGCTAATCTCCAGCCCCAGGTTTACTCAGGCTGTAATGTGTGTTCTGCTCTGATATGTAATCATCCATAGTTTAACCCTGGGCTAATCTATGCTGCCCCCGAGCCCCGGATATCATCTCTGTGCTCCAGTGTCCTTGACATGTTTGTTTTCTTCCTGCTTGCCCCTGGAGCTGTGGGTTTGTGGGACAGTTTGTCTGGCATCTCTATCTGTCCCTCAACCCTATAGAAGTGGGAGAATTTTTCAATTAAAACAATATCAGGACTGATCTTTGCACATTAGCTGTAAGAAGGCTCTCCTGCGTGGTCCTGATAAGTCTTTAGAATTTGCCTCTAACGTCACAAAGCTAAAAGTAATACTGACTGATATACAATGATTGTCAAGAGGCCTTAAATACATAATGGCACAATTTCAAGAGGATTTTTATAGAACTTCTCATTAATGAAGCTGCTCAAATCACCTCATGCTGATGCCTTTTTCCTAAAATTCATGATCATCTTTTTTTTGTAACGCAATCTGTCTGGTGTGAACACACTGGGCCATTAATATAGTGTTTCATCATAAAATAGACTGACTTTTAACAGCAGTGGCTCAAGAGTTTTCTGAAGGGCTCTCTGCCTGTAGACATTATACATGAGCCAACTGTTAGAGCAGTTTGAACCTGTATATATATTTAAACTTGAATTATGTTGATAGGTTCCTGTATTTCTGTTCAATGTGACAGTCACATAAAATTACATAAATGTTGTTTTTTTTAAATGAAAATAACATTTTTCAGCATATTTGTGGGGTAACGGTTAAAAATATATTTGTGGGGTGTATGCTGAATAAAATCTGATACTGTATTTCTTTAGCTTTTTTGTAACAAAATATCGGAAGGAATAGTCTAAACAGTTACACAAGTCTTAATTTCTTACATTTAGAAATGCAATGCTCATAAAAGAAAATGTGACTCAAATAATTAATCTCATGTGCATGTCTTAAAAATATATTATTATATATTATAAAATATATATATATTTTTTTATTATGAACAGTTCGTTGTACCAAAAAAGATTTAATAAAATTATTGAACGAAGCATAATTTGTAAGCCAGAAGAGTTTGTTGAGACCTCTTAAACCAGGGGTTCTTAACTCTGGCCCTCGAGGTCCACTTTCCTGCAGAGTTTAGCTCCATCCTTGATCAAACTGACCTGCCAGTAACTTTCTAGTAATCCTGAAAGAGCTTGACTAGCTTGATCAGGTGAGTTTGATTAGGGATGGAGCTAAACTCTGCTGGAAAGTGGACCTCAGAACCCCGGTCTTAAACAAAAATGAATCAAGCAGCACAGATCATATGCGTCGTTTACATACTGCTGCGCCCCCGTGGCGAAAGACGGAACTGCATCAGTTGAAACTTTTGACTCTGACGTGAGAGTCACATGACCGGTAGCAATAATGGCGGCGATGGCGCGCTGAAACGAACTGCTGTAGTGAGCCTAACATTTTCAATCCTTACTCATCCTTCGTAAATTGATTATTGAGTCTAATATCGGCGTTTTGAAGGAGAGTTATCCGGGCTTCATGCTTCTGTAAACCAAATGAGTTTGGAGGGTTGCGGCGTTTGTAATGGAAGAGGAGTTCCAGAGCAATGGCAATCGAGAAGTAGGTTTTGTTTACATTTAGACATCAGGGATCTGCTGCAGAATCCAGCGCAATCTAGTGATACGCGCATCATTAAAGTCCTTTTATATCAATGAGAAATAAACCTCAATGACTGACAGATTTTTCTTTCTTTTTTCCCCCCCACATGCAGACATTTTTACGAGTTCGAGCTAACAGGCAAACACGATTGAATGGTATGTATATTTTCTCCCTGCAACAAGAAAAGTGATGTATTATGGTTGTTTATCTGTTGACATATGACTTATAAAAGCGTAATTGTCATCCATTAAATAGTGTAATACTTTATATCATAAGTACAGAGTGCAGTTAATATATGGAGAGCTGTTCTTTTCCTAGCAGGCTACTGTAATGTTTATCAAAATAATAACAATTATTCATATTATTTGATAGCATTATATCAATATAAAGTTGCAATATTCAGTCAATTATACGTAGTAATGTTTAAATAAATTGTATTTTAACAGTACATCGTCTTCTAGAGTCTGATTACATGCAGTAATATTTGATGAAAATAATGGCCTTATTAGTTTATTTTAATACATTTTCATGCCTGTCAAAATGAGCTAATAATAAACACCTGACAAAAATGTCTGCAAAATTGGATTGTGATAAGATCGTTTATAATCTTTACCTGATAAAATAATACAGTTTAAGGCATTTGTGTGACATTCTGCTCAGTGAGCATTACTTGAAGCACTTTACATGCTCTGAAGACTCGTCTTGCTGGTATATGCAAGACAGCGAGTCTAGTCATTCTGTATGGTTATCTGAACCCCAACTCATAGTCATTAGTTGGTGGGTGTGATGGAGCTGCCGCACCCATGGGGAGGGTTGGTGTGAGCTGGGAGCTCACTGACCCGAGGCCAGTTGCTATTCTGGGTGTTGGTAACCGTCTGGCATGAATAAGGAGCTCCTCGCCTTTCAGGGTGCATCAGCCAAATGCTTATCAGCACTAGTGTCTGTCATGTGGCCTTGCCAGGAGCTTGACATCTATGTCAACCTTAGCACCCTTGCCACATATTAGGTGATTTCTACAAGCCTAAGCTTTCATGTATTAAATAACATGGCTGTTTATTATAGTTAGTATAGCTTGTAGTAATTGTGGCCACCTGTTTTTGCACTTCCCTTGACTGTAGCGCCTGCCCAAGCAGAGAATCTCCTTAACCCTTGGTTTTTTCATGTGTCAACAGTCGATGACCTCTGCTGGTGCAGGCGCAACACCAAGGAAAGTTTCAAAAGTCCCCCAATCCCAGTGCCCAGAGGAGTGCCCCTAGCCCCTTGCTGCCTGCGGCATGGTAAGACCCCCTCCCCCCTTTATCACAGCCGCAGGCACTGTAAGGGTAAATGGGGCTGTCTTTGTTTAAACCCAAGCCCGTATTAAAGTATATCACCTCTCATCTGAGACGCTGTGATTTCAGCATGAGGAAAAACTCCTGCCGTGCCTAATTAATCTGCCTTTCTTCGTGCTATTTAATGATGCCCATCTCCCCCACATTACTGTCAACGTGGTCAGTGCTTCTCTCTCTTCTCCCTCTCCTGGAGGTAATGGCAGAAGCTCCTGCCTCTCCTCCTCCAGTCCCCCTCGGCCCCATTCGCAATCACAGTCACCTAAAAATTAATGTCCCCACACGCCATTTGCAGTTAAGAAAAAGCGACAGAGACTTACGGCGCAATAGGCGCTGTTCTGCTGTGTTAAATTTCTAATTATGTGATCGGGGAGGGGAGGGGGAAGAGTGAGACACCCCGAGAGATCCGAGCTCTGGCCGTTTTTCGTGCCTGTCCCTGATGTATCAAGGAGGAATTGGTGTTTGGGTGCAAAGGTCTAATTAACAGAGTTCACCTCTGAGCCGAGCCCTATCACGTCAATGTTGTGTTTTGCAACTCATCTTTCTTGCCTCAGTAAAATCTGTGGCTAGAGATGCCTACTAGCCTCAAGATAAACCTGTAAAGGATCCTGATCTATGTGGGGTTTTTATGTGAGCTTAATGCTGCTAACTCTTTCTGAATGCTCTTTTTTTCAGTTTGACATTGTGTGTGTCCTGTGACATCCTTGGTCGTGCATATTAGCTGTTGATCTATCCAAGTTTTAATGTAAATAAATAAATGTAATAATTAAAATGTATAGAAATTTACAGCCATTTTAATTAAATATATTTATATTTAAATATTATTGGTGTCGAAATTAGCGTGTTACCGCAGGCGATAAATCTTTTCAGTTTAACGCGTAAAAAATATTGAATGCTAGGGTTGTCCACCCCATTCACAGCTGCTGCTTCTGTCACTTTTTCTCTTGACAAGAAGTGCATTTATTTGGTCGCAGAACGACTGAGAACGGGAGACGTTTCAGACGCGCGCTCCACTTATCTACGGCGCGAGTCAAACGAGTGCGGAAACGGTACTGTGCTTGCAGCGTGTGCTCTTCAATTGCACACACAAAGGTGCCGGACGCATGCTGTAACCTGTATCCATTCATATCAAAGCGCGAAATAAACTACGTGCATGCAATGTCGTGGTCAGTTAAGTAATGAAGCTACCAAAAAGGCGATTAAAGCTGCCTTAAAACTGCATGCATGTAATATATTTTATATGAGTCACATTTAAGACACATTTTCTGAAATGGTTTTCAAAACTGTCCTGGAGCAGCCCGGCACTGTCTCACTCATCTAACACACCCGATTCAACTCATTAATAGAGACTTTAAGGCCTGAAGTGGGTCAGTAAAGGTAAAAAGATTTGAGAGAAATGCATGCGTGTAGAGTCCGCGTCACGTACAGCAGCGGCAGCTCTTAAAGAATAACAGCCAAAATAACCTAATAACCAGCTGCTGTGATGTCTATTAATCAAAGGACAAAGGAAAAAAAAGAGGAAAAAATGACTTTTATAGCTTCTTATATTTAATTTAGTGTTTGATAACTTCAATTTCTGTATATTTCTGCTGAAGGGCACAGGTAAATATGACATTTATTATAATGGGTTTATGTGAAGATTGTTTTAAGTTCCCTTAAATTAGAAGTTATTAAGTCTAATAAATGTTAAAATCGATAGCTCTCAATTATACAGTAATGTTGAATGGCTATAGTCAATGTTTAAATATTGGGGGGGGGGCAATTTTATAGAGAAATCAGTATTGGTATCGTTGGTACTGGCCTTCAGTCATAAAAAAAGATGCCATTAAAAAATATACTTTTTTTTTTGTTTGTCTTTGTTGTTTGTACATTCATTTCAAGATTGAATGTGAAATTATTGCAATATAAAAGTATATTTAAAAACTTTAATGTTAGGTGGGATTAATCGCAATTAATTTCAGAAAAATATGCGATTAATTAGTAAAAAAAAAATTAATTGATTGACAGCACTAATAAATATATATTAATTACATATACAGCTCAGTGCCAGTATGGATTATGTATGTAGTATTTATTATGGTCGCTTTGCTCCATTGATTTATCATGTGGTACCTCTTTTCTTTTTTTTCTTTTTTTTTTGTGCTGCAGCCCGGATTGGGAAGATGAAGCGCCGGAAGCCTGAGGATGGACAGGTATGTCCACTGTGCAGCGCCCCGCTGACAGGGACGGAGGAGGAAATGAGTAGGCATGTGGAACAATGTCTGTTCAAGGTAGCTTCATAAACCCAGAGATCTGGGCCTCCAACCTCTAGAAGCTTTGGCCTTTCTGCCCTCACCTTTCCCTGGACATCTGACGAAAGACACGCACATAATGATTTTGGGAATTAGTTCTTTATGATTACACCTATGTTGTATTCCTACATGGGTGTCCAGGGAATAGTTGAAGGATTAGCTCTTTTCTGAAGTGTTCTTCCTCCTCCTTCACTTAGATTTGGTTGGCAGTTTCGGTGTCCTGAGCCTACTTTATAGATATTCTACTATATTGTCATTAAACACTGAGTTTATAGAGCGGCTCAATGGAAACTGTTGTTCACACAGTCTGTCTGGCTTCCCTCTTTAGCCATTTTAGTGGTTCAGGATGCAGCACTTGCCCTTTATATTATATAGCAGGTTCCTCTTGACCCATCTAATCCAGTAGTTCTTATGATACCAATGCATTCTTGGTGGTTGGATTCGGGTGTTCTGTTGCATGTGGTTTGATAGCTCCTAAAATTAGACATCATTAGAAGTTAGTGGATTTGAAAGCGCTGCTTTGATTTCCTCTGATGTAGTCACTCTTTGTGGTTTTGTCTCTTTATATTGAATGAACCAATTGAAATGTATTTGTGCATGTTTGATAAGTGGTTTTGTTCTCTCAGAGGGAAGGTGGAACAGAAGAGGATTCCGCCGATGTCGAAGGAGAGAACGGAACGCGGTTTGAGGAGTACGAGTGGTGCGGACAGAAGAGGGTACGAGCTACTACATTACTGGAAGGTGGTTTCAGAGGTAAGCATTTTTTCATTTTCTTATATTTTCGAAAGAAGTTTGTCATTCTCACCAAGGCTGTTTTTATTTGAACAAAAATACAGTAAAAACAATAATATTATTGTTATTAATATTATTGGGACACTTCATTTCCAGCGATATCGTTGACTTGATTGCAAATGATTGCAAAGATACTATTTAAACTGAACTGAGCTGGATGATGACATCACTGAATTGAATGATGAACTGTCTTTAACCGAAAAATTTGTGTTTACTATTGTCATTTTGCATTATTGACACACTATTTTCCTAATTAATGCTGTTCAGTTGCTTTGACACAATCTGTATTGTTAAAAGTGCTATATAAATAAAGGTGACTTGACTTATTATTATATTATCTAAGTATTTTATTATTATATTATTTCAATACATAATATATATATGTTTATTTCAATTTAAAATAACTGTTTTCCATTTGAAAATATTTTAAATGTAATTTATTCCTGTGATGGCAAAGCTGAGTTTTCAGTGTCACATGATCTATTAGAAGTCATTCTAATATGCTGATTTGGTGCTCAAGAAACATTTCTTAAAGTTTAATGAAGATCCCTTTCAAAGATCACCAGAAACTTTAAAGCTGTTTTAATACGGGTACATACATTTATTTCACGATGTACCCCAAGCTCAACCTGTTCAAGTGGTGTGTGTGTTAATTTATAGGCTAGGCAGCTGTAGTCCAGACAAGGTGAGTTCTGGCAGGCCCTACTTGGCCTTTAAGGAGTCAAAGGAAAACACATTTAGCTGTGCAATTGACCCACCTCACCCAGTACAGAGATGTGTGTGAGAAAAATGGGCCGCTGACCCCTGGGCTTCCCCCACTGCAGGAATGCAATTATAGCTCCCAACCTAACTCTGCTCACCTGGGATGTTCTCTATCACATACACACACGCTCCCTAAGAACCTTTTTGATGTGCTGCCACGTTCATTGAAAGACTTTCAAGGGAATTCTAGTTGATTCATAAATAATTTACCTCTTCAGATTATTTTTACACTAGGGAGGAGGTGTCAGTCATCCTCCATACTTGAGATTTTTATCTTCAAACTTTTCTCAATGTTGGATCAGTTGTTTTGAAAGGGGTTTTATTTCTTCAGTTAAGTTTGTTGAGTTGGCACTTTAGAGGAAGTGAATGTCTATCAAAAACATCTCAGTTTTTCCCCTCACTGTTAGTTTCATATTTAGAAAAGGAGTTAGGCTCCTCCCTCAGTGGTCTTTTGTAAACTTCTGTGCTGTTAAATGGAAAGGCTGTTCGATCCCAAGGAGAGAACCCATTGCAAAGCTGTGTGGATTAATAAAAGAAACAGACTTGCTTCTCTATCGCCCGGCTGGACAGACGGTGGCCCAGATCAATCCTGCATGTGAACAGAGCCATGTGTCTGTACAGAAGCTCGCTAGCCCTTTATCTTCAGCACAGGCACCGGTGTAATGGCGATATGGGGGAACCTAGTGAGAAGTGACTCGGTGGCCCAGGGGCCACTTGAAAGCTCTCCCTAGGATGCTCAGAAGGTGGATTTTGCCTTGAAAGCTCAGCTGAAGTCCTCAAGCGTTCAATCGGTCTGCATTGCAGAATCTCTCCAGCCCAGGGGGAGCTAGACTGGGGAGGGGGGCTTGAAAGGAGTCTTCAATGGGATAAGAGGGCTATAGTCCCTGAAGCACCAGCAGCTCTCTCTCTTTGAGGACCCAGGAAGAAAGCAGAGAGGAAACGCTTTAAACCGAACAAAAAGAGCATGATAAGGGAAAAGGGAGACCAAGAGGAAGAGAGGAATCGAAGAAGATCAGTTTGTGTTGGAGGCCCATAAGGCCTCCTGTGTCCGTGGCTTAGCAGGGCTGTTGTGCTGATGAAGAGATAGTGATGGCAGAGATGGAGGAGATTTGGTGAAGTCGGGAAAGAAGAACAGAGGCCCGCCGCTCATCTTTGTAAAGAGCCTTGAGAGATGGCAGCTTTGAGCCCCCTCCCTGGCAGGCATACATGGTAAATGCCATCCTGATTGGATGAACTTTGACCTGTGACATACTGTGAAAGGCAGATAAGTGTCATGGCAACAAGGTGGAGGAGAGGCCATGTTTCATGTCCTGTTTCTCTGGAATCTCTGCTTCCCCTTTCTTTGCTGTGGCATGACACACCTGTCTTGGGTGACATATGTAGATTAGCACTTAACAATCATGGCATATGTAAATCAGCTTGCAAAATGTGACCCAACAAGGAAAATGTGCTTTATGCATGTAACAACTTAACATTTAAACAGATACAAGACCTGCTTTGAACATGACACATTGCAAATGGCTCTTATTGTCATGCAAAATATTGCAGAGCAATACTGGTAAATACAGGCTACATTGTAAGGAAGACAGTGGAGTTTTTTTTTATTCATCCAGTGTACACAGTGACGAAGAACAGGAGTAAGCTTAAGAGGCGGTGCGACGGCGTGCATAATTTGACTGAGAGGCAGTTAGAGTTGCGCTGACCTTTTCGGTACAGATTAGATTGCCTGCCAAGACCACTTAACAGTAGCCCTAGCTTTTTCAGTCAGACACCCATTGCTCGGGTAGTTATACACCATTTAGGTGGCCGTTTTGATGTTGTGGTTGCCTGTGTAGGTGTGCCCTGCTTTTTTCAGTCTGGCTAAGTTTCGTCAGTGTACACACTAAAGTGGACAGTCTTACTGTCCGTGCTGAATCAATGCTGCATGACATTCTTTCTGCCCTGGTTCTAGCAAAGCATTAGCCAGAATCCATAGCCTGATCAATTGCTTGATTTAACAGTGATTTGTTTTTTCTTTTGGCTGCTTATGGCCTGCAACATCTTCCTCTGGCCTGCCTGCTATTAGTGGTCACTGTTTTTTATTTTTTCCCTAATTTCTTCCCCTGGTTTGGCTTTCTTTGCAGCTTGTTGACAGTTCATTAATAAAATGTTCACCATCATTTACAGATTATGGTCTTTCATTTTTGGCTAACTGTACCCTTCACCCACCTTCAGTTGGGTCAGAGGAGTGGGAGGGTTATCTATAGAACACACTATTTCCAAGCTAGAATGAGCTGATGCCAAACACAGGACCCACGGTTCATGTTTTAATGCGGTCACACACTTTCCATCCATTCTTGCACTTCCGTGCCACTATGACTAAAGCTTGCCCATACTTAAATACTATTAAACATTTCTAACCAAGCTACACTTCTGCTCAAAACATTTATATTTTTTAAAGAATACTTTTATCCGATAAGGACACATTAAATTGGAAAAAAAGAGAGCAGTGAAGACATTTTTACAAAAGATTTCTGTTTCAAATAAATACTATTCTTTTGAACTTTCAGTTCATCAAAGAATTCTGAATGTATTACAGTTTCCAACAATATTAAGCAGCATAACTCTTTTCATCGTTGAGAATAATGAAAAATGTTTCTTTATCACCAAATAAGCATATCAGAATAATTTCTGAAGGATCGTGTGATTTTGAAGAATTGAGTAATGGCTGCTGAAAATTCAGCTTTGTGATCACAGGAATAAATTACATTTATAAAACATATTAAAATAGAAAAGTCATTTTAAATTGCAATAATATTTCACAATAGTACTCTTTTACTGTATTTTTGATCAAATAAATGCAGCCTTATTGAGCATGAAAGACTTCTTTGAAAAACATTTATCAATAATTTATACAAATAATGCTTTGTTATTGGTAAATATCAATGGACAGAATCTGTAAGCGATATGATTAATTCTGTAAGTTATTGTTGAAAGGTAATGTACATTTAGACTGTTGCGCACAGTTGAACCCTGATTCTCTGTTGAGGAGCTTGGATTTATGTAGCTCAGCTATTGTGCGCATATGCCTCTGCAGTCACAGGGACCAAATAAAACTTAAAAGGTCTCTTTTATTTGATCACTAAAAACCATCGCACATTGTAAAAAAAGGGCAAGCATTTGTGATGCATTTTATCCCTACTCTGCCTCTTTTGGATCCCTTTACGGAGAAGGGGAGAGACCGATCATGGCCGCCACATCCACTTTCAGTCCTCCTCCTCTTTTCCATCAGTGCCTAACACTCCCTGAAGGCTGTAGTTATCCATTCGACACTGCGCAGTAGTCATCCTGTGTCGTAGCGCTTTGAGGAACAAGAGGAAGTACTATTCTCCACTTCCATTTCCTACCTCAGCTCCTCATCTGTGACAAACCCGTTCTCCAGCAGTGCCCCTGACATCCTTCCATCAGCCCCTGAGGGGCCTGGCTGCTCCCACCCTTCAGGCTGCTACCGATCCAACCTCTTCCTAACCAGAACTGAAGGACCCAGTCAGCCAGCGGTTGGAGTTTGTCTGTGCGCTCATCACTGGATTTACAGAAGTGCCACTCAGGCTGCACGCCCCAATGCTCAGGTCCCACTCCCTGACAAGCATCTGACACAACTCCCATTCAGACGGTCACTGATGGCTCCATCTGGGCCCAGAGCACCAGGCTCCTGGCTTGTCTGCAGTAATCTGGTTCTGCTCACAGCTACAACAGGCCTTCCTAATTGAGGTTTCTCTGGCATGACAAACCTGTTTTGGATTGGGACTGTTACGGTTGAAGATGGTTTGCTAGTGATAGATTTATTGTAACATATAATGTATATTATTAAATGCAACAAAGGATTTAAACCCAAATTTAATTTACTGATGACTGTTATTCCTCTCCACCCTCTTTTTAGGAACAGGCTTTGCCATGTGTAGCACGAAGGAGAGCCATGACAGTGATGCAGACCTGGATGTGGATGGAGATGACACACTGGAGTACGGCAAAGCCCAGTATCCTTGATTAGTCGTCTTGAGACATCTTGCTCTTCAGTGGTGCTGTAGTGGGCACAGAAACAGTAACAGAAATTAGAAGCAGTTGTTCTTTAACTCGAGGTTTCAGGTACACTGAAGCAGACATCATTCCTTGTTCTGGAGAGGACCAGGGAGAGGCCAAAGAACGTGAGGCACTGCGTGGGGCCGTTTTGAAGTAAGCTGGATTTCACTGAAATGATTTCATCACAGACTTTAAAATGACATAACAAATCTATAGACTTGGCTTTTGCACAATTTTTTTCTTTTCTTTTCTTTCTTCTGTAGTGGTGGTGTACCGTCCAATAGAATAACACCAGAGTTCTCAAAATGGGCCAGTGATGGTGAGTTGGCCTTCAAATAAATGTGGTTTCTTTCTGTTCATCCGAGAATCCTGAAAAAAAAAATCCGTTGTGTATTAAATATTAAACATAATATATTAACTCTAATGTATATTAAAATAGTAATGTTATTTTAAATTGTAATAATATTTCACATTATTACTGTTTTTGCTTTATTTTTGGTCAAATAAATGGTTAAAAAGAAAGAAAAACACCAAACTTTTGAGCAGTAAGTATATACATTTTTGTAATTGTGCTCTGAAGTATTTAATCCAGAAATTGCTTTACGTAAATTCAATCTCTGTTAAAATAAAATAAAAAAAATTAAAACCTGAACCCTGTTTTTTGTCTATATATTTAAGTTGGATTGTTATAGAAAGAAACGTTACTTTTGTTGGCCCTCATTCATTATATGCTCTGTTTGTCTATTTTTGCAGAAATGCCATCCACCAGTAATGGCGAGAGCAGCAAACAGGAGCCGAGCTCTTCATTTTCGTCCTCCACACCGAGGACCTGTAAAAACAGTGAGATCGAGAAGTGAGTACAAACACACACCTGTCCACAGTGGCAGTGTGTTTTCTGGTGTATTGGGGTGAGATTAGTTTGTGTAGGGACTGCAAGATCATAAATGATGCATTTAGTGTGCTCATCTCTCCGGAGCATGCTTGATCACAGGGAGTGGCCCAGAGTATTGATCCCAGGCAGCTGAGCCTTGTCTGGGCTTGACTTGCAGCACAGCCCAGGAATGCTAATATCCCTTTAGCCATTTCCATACTACAGCTTTTCACTGCAGGAATAGTATATTTATCTCTTATTGCAAGAAGTGAAGCCAGATAAAGTGAAATTGCTTGCAACACACCACTCAGATGCTTTAAATGAGCATGTTAATGGAAGAAAAAGTGTCCATGTGGCCTGAAACTAAAAGTATTACTCTCACTATTACCTACAAATGTTGTTTAAAGAGAACTGTCTTGCAAAAAGAAGTGTACCATTAAAAAACAGGAGCACAGAGAAAGCGAGATGAATTCCTACACTCCACCGAGAGTGAAAACAAGATGGAGAGAGTGTAGCAGGCAGCCTTCAGCCGCAGATAAATTTGAATAACCTGAGTGGGTGAAAGGCCGGCTCCTGTAATTCCCTCATCTCTGCATCCTCATCCATATTCCCCGACAAGTGCTCCCGCTAAACTCTCCTCCCACTTGCGTGTGTGGGGGCCCAGCCCCAGTGAATGGGTAATTGGGGTCAGAGCGCAGCTCCCAGTAGAAGAGGGGCTTATTGCCACTGTGGTGGTGCGACTGTCCTGGTTTGATCTCCCCCTGCTGTCTAGAGCTGGACCAGGGTCAACACGTTAGCCACAGACATACCTCACTCTGCCTAACCAAGAGCGGGAGCACAGCTGTCAGTCCACATGACCCATGTCCTGTCTCTATCCTTGTTTAATCCCGGCTGTGCAGGGTTGTCAAATGCAGTGCCAATTTAATGTTTGTAGCGTGGACTCTCAATCAGGAGATATTTTCAGGAGATAGTTTGCTTTGTTATAAAAAAAATTTATAGCTGATTGATTAATGATAGATAAAAAAAAAATAAAAAAATTCTGGGAAAAAAAGAAAACATCTATTATTAAATAATATTAGTGTTTTTTTCCCCCCAGAAAACAAAAAAATCATGTTCACAAGTTCAATATAGGGGCTTATTGCCACTGTTGTGGTGCGACTGTCCTGGTTTGATCTCCCCCTGCTGTCTAGAGCTGGACCAGGGTCAACACGTTAGCCACAGACATACCTCACTCTGCCTAACCAAGAGCGGGAGCACAGCTGTCAGTCCACATGACCCATGTCCTGTCTCTATCCTTGTTTAATCCCGGCTGTGCAGGGTTGTCAAATGCAGTGCCAATTTAATGTTTGTAGCGTGGACTCTCAATCAGGAGATATTTTCAGGAGATAGTTTGCTTTGTTATAAAAAAAATTTATAGCTGATTGATTAATGATAGATAAAAAAATTCTGGGAAAAAAAGAAAACATCTATTATTAAATAATATTAGTGTTTTTTTCGATTAATGATAGATAAAAAAAAAATAAAAAAATTCTGGGAAAAAAAGAAAACATCTATTATTAAATAATATTAGTGTTTTTTTCCCCCCAGAAAACAAAAAAATCATGTTCACAAGTTCAATAAATTTGTGTGATTGACACTCTTAGCACACTGACTTATTTTTATATATTTTTTGTTTTTAATTTCAGTACTATTTGTTACTTTGATTTATACTTCATTTTGATATTTTTATTTTAGTGTTTGTTTTATAAATACTTATTTTTGCTTTATATAGACTTACTATAATTTATTTTTACATTTCATGAACACAATTTTTATTTATTAATAATGAGAACATTCCTGAGTATTTCTAAAATGCACCCCCGCAATTCATCGTCCTCTCTATCTGTCTCTTGTCTCCCCTGAGGCTTCTTCCCTAGGGAAAGGCTTCTAGTGTAGCTGAATCAATCTTGTGCGGGCGGCCATCACGGGGCCCCATATTAAATATCAGGGGCGGATAACTAGTGAATAAGCACAGCAGACCCGAAGCAATAGATTTTTCTCGTCAGCACGTCACGAGCATGTTCTTCTCACCCATCTCCAATCAAGTGAAAATCTGCGAATGACTTTGTCTGTAGCACAAGCTTGATGTCAGCTACGGTATGCAATTGAAATCTTGTTTGCTAACCATGTTTACCATGACCAGCAGTTAAAAGTGTGACTTTGCACACTGTTGCTTGATAGGTTTGACTGAGTGTGGAAATAAATGTTAGTGGATGATCTTATGAACACTGTGTGGCTCTGTCCGAGAGTGGGTGTGCAAGTAGGAGGATGAAAATGGACAGAACGGAATTCCTAAGTGGAGCTGCAGGAGTGTGACAGCTTAGATTGATTCATTGCTTTCCTCCGTAGAGACTCGCTCACTTTCCGCACACACTCAGAGCACCAGGCAGCCGTTTAGACTAGCCGTTGCGTTGTATCGGGGGGCATTAAGTGTTTTAGCCGACCGGGGTATGAATCACCGCAGCTGTTTGATGTAATAGAGAAGAGCGAGCAATGAGCGCAACCCACCCGCCACCCGTTTTATTAGCTTAGCGCTTAGCTCCAGACGTGACACACACTCGTTTATTTAATATCTCCCGCAATATTTCTCCCAGTCTGTGCCCGTCCTCATCGGCCCTCTGTCTGAATCTATCCATCTCTCCCCGACAGTAGAGCCCTCTCCTCCGAAGAGCACCTCTCCTTTCTCCTTCTGCTGATTTGATCAGGTATCACAGGATGTTACGCGATATTGTCTTATGAAAGGGGCCGGGGAGATAAATCTCAATGATGATATCATTAATCAAATCCTGCGGGGTCATGAGAAGGGGGAGGGAGGTGTATTAACTCTTTCCTAGCCAAAACACAAGATTGTTACTGTAGCATTTGAGTTTTAGCTTCACATATTGGTTCAGTATTAAAAAAAAATACATACTTATGCTTTTTTTTTTTCCTTCATGGTGTGCGTCAAATGGATGAAACATGCAAATTTACGGGAATGGCTGTGCCATTGTTTAATATCCAATTTCCTGAAGTGAAGGGTCTTAATCTGAGCAAGCTTTAAAGAGGCCACATAAGGAGCTAAAATCATTTCATTCCACTTCAAGCCTGGAAACAATCCCAACCTCACTGTTTGTAAAACACATGCATTTCAATCTGCAATGAAAATGAGATTTGTCCCCTTTAGTTACAGTAATTCATTGTGTGTGAGTGTGTGTGTGAGTGTGCACGTTTTTGTGACAAAGTATAAAAACCATTACGCCTATGGGATGTCCCCACTTTTCACAAAAACAAACCTGTGAGTGTGTGTTTTGGAGTAAGAAGTTGAGCTTGTTACTGTGTTGTGAGTTGTGTAAATTGTATACATGTGTGTCTTAGTAAGGCAGAGGGGGCTGATGAATTCTCCAAGCTCTCCTGTGTGCCCAGATGGGTAATGATCTCTGAGTACAGGGGTCGCCTCTGTCCCTGCTCATTCTGCACATGATAAATGAGGGCTTTGTAATACTTTTTTTAATTAATGATATTAATATTTTAAAATTGCAAGCTGTTGTGCTCAATCAGCCTCTTGATTTAAAGTACTATGCAGTGACCCTTACCATCACGACTGAATATAAGAATTGATTGTCAGCCAAGTGACTTTATAAAGATCTCCCAGTATCTGTCTGTACTTGTAACTCATGTGTTCTCGTGTCAGGCCATATAGACCTATAGATTAGACCGCCTTCTATAGTTAGGCTTGGCTCTGATGGAGACGGATGGTTAAGGGGCAGGATAATGAAATGAGAAAAAGCTTCACACTCAGAGACAGATCAGCAGTGTGAGATAGCAGTGCAGGCTTCATCTACTTCCTGTTTTAACTTGTGCTTTTGTTGCTTTAAAAATAAAAATATCCCCTAATAGAGAATGATGCCTGTATAAAGCATTAGACCTGCACGTCCATCATGGTTTTAACATCCAAATTGATTTTTAATATAATGGGTGTGCCGTTATGGACCTCAGCTGTAGGTAAGGGACATGATTAGTTTGCATGTCAGTCCTCATTGTGGTTTCCTTAGTAACTTAACTCTTAATTGAAATGACATCATTCTTTCCCTAGATGATGTCATTGGCATTATTCAGCCAGCATACCACTGCAAAGCGGAGACGAGGTGTGTGTTTAATATTTTTTAAACGGTCTCCCACACACTCAACGGGACCTTGGTGATTTTCTGTTTTGAACTTACCCAGCCACCCCTCTCCTGCTTTCGTATTAAATCACAGCCCAGCTCTCTCTCTCTCCAAAACCATCTCTCCATCTCCATCCATATAAAGGAAGAGTAAAACCCTCTTTTTTTTCCCCAGGGGAATTTAATAACTTTTAGAAAGTGGTTTTCTATAAAGCACCACACAATGAATATTCATGCAGGAACGGGTCGGGCATGACTTGGGGGAAATGTTGTATTCTTTTGTAGGGCCGGTGACGACATACGGGCAAGTGAACCACAGCGATTTATGAAGCCGTTAAAAGAAAAACAGCAGGCATGGAGCACAGTACACCTACTCTCCTGTCTGCTTTATAAGCATGCACGCTAATCAAGGCTAAATGCTCTTTTACAAGCCGGCCACTAATAAGAAGAGATTTTAAAGTTTTATAGTCCCTGTGCTGATTGTAGGCTATTGGGATTTGACCGTCCAGACAGCTCGCTCTCCTTGATCAAGGTCGTCATGTTGTTGGGGCCTTTTGAGAGAGACCTGGGTGAGGTTTAGGGTGACCTTGAGAAGATGCCTGGACTTTTCTTAAGATGTCAGACTTCAGAGTTTTGCTAACATCTTCCTTAATGAGATGAAATAAAAATGAAAATTCACCCTCTATTTTCAAAATACATGTCGATCTTATTGTGACATTTTATCCAAGCATGTTTTTTTTTTTATTATTATTGTTGTTTTGACCTTGTAATTTTTTTATCCTTGTAAAAATTCTCCAATCATTTTGTCCTATAAACCCCATCCCTTTCTTACAAACGACTTGCATTGAGTATGACCTCCATCTAATCAACAACCGATTGATTGAACAAAGTCCCAGCCCTTTTTTCTTATTCAATAAATTGTCACTCGGATGTATGTCACATTACAGAAGAAAATATCTGTTGCTACTTCAGTCATCGCAACTTTAAATGAAACCGGACATGTTTAATTCCTGGCTGCGAGATTTTAAGCTTTATTTCTCAAAGTGCCCATGATTCTTCAGTTACACTGTCATTGTTGTTGGCCTTATAGGAGATGCTGAGTCCATAAATGGTCTTTCCATTTTAATGGCCCTTCCTTGATTTACATTCTAAAACTACCTAATTACAGAGAGGCCCATGTCCCAGTGTGTGTGGTGAACGTGTACTCATTGTGGAGTCACACAGGCATGTAATAAATGGAGCTATTGGAAAAGGCAGTGGAACGGCAGGCACTAATCGGGGGGATTGTGCCTAGGAGAACGCTGGCGCAACGTTAAATCAATACTGTAGATCAGTGCTCCATCTGGCTGGAAAATGAGCGGATCACCATAAACATCTCGCCAAGCGTCTTGCCACACAATCAATGGTGGCCCTATTGATTTAGTTATTGCGAGTTCATATGCTGTGGACAGTGTTAAATATACATTCAGCAGCTGAGCGGCATTTGTCTGAGGGACATTTAGTGAAACCCTGAGAGGTGAGAAGTTGGGGGAACTGGTGCAAGTGTGACCTCAGAGGACTAAGGAAACTCTGAATGGTAGTACAATAAAGAAAAAAAAAACATTAGTTCATATTGACATCATGGTCTTTCTGTAGCAGTGATGACTGTTTCCAGTTGGGCCGTCTGTTTTTAATTTTGCATTAGTGTTTTTGGGAGTTAGCAGTCGTGTTTGTCTGAACTGAAGCTGTGTGGTAGCTGTGCAAATGTAAATTGCAAATTTGTGTGTGACTGCACTACTTTTAAAAAGTAATTAGCATTCCACTGTTTTCAGTTTAATGTATGAGCCAAACTGTTTTGTAGTGCTCTAATTTAACCAACTTTGATATATTTTTTTTACCGGCAGGATAACAGAGGACTCCACAGCGACCACACTGGAGGCACTAAAGGCCCGCATACGAGAACTGGAAAAGCAGATCCTCAGAGGAGACCGATACAAGTGTCTCATATGCATGGTGAGAGTTCTCGCTTGCCAATATTGTGCGCATACATGCTGTGGTGATATAACCTAACACCCGCAATCATGCACCCAGCTGGCTGAAGCTTTGTGATGGTTTGCCTCCTTCAGCTTCAATCTCGCATAGACTGGAAAATGAACCCGCACATTAAGGTTCTGTTGAAGGAGTTCTGCCATCCTGTTGGATATCTATGCTAAACCTTTTCAGCTTTAATCCTGTAGGTGCTTCTGACTAATCTGACATGCCTCTGTTGGACTGGAGGTAGATTAGTTTCGTTAAAATGAAATAAAAACATCCTTAAAGTCATACAGAGGTACAAATTGATTAGTTCTGGCCTTGTTAATAAAAAGACTTGGAAATGTTTTGATTTAATTGGAAAGATTCAAGACATTTTTCTGTTTGCTTCTGTGTCGTGCAGTCTGTTGAGGTTTTCCCAGTGGTGGTCTACTGCCACCTGCTGATTGTTGGATGTATAGCAGACCATAAAATTAATTCTCAGTAAATTATTTGGACTAAAAGTGCTAGAAGTGTTTCAGACAGCTTAGCATTATATCCAAACTGAATATTCACACAAAAGTGCAACAGAACTCCCAACCATCCCTTTTATCCTGGCTCAGTGTTGGCCGAGAGCTTCTGTTGATAGCTGCACCCGTTGGTCTGATGTGTGTGTCTGTGGCAGCCACATTCTTGTTCTCAGTGCCGCTCTTGAATATCCCTGCAGCGGAAGCCGACCCAAACAGGGGCTGATGGCAAGAATCAGGCAGTCGAGAGGCACGGGAGCACAGAGGCCCTGCAGCTCGGCGTGTACTGTTTGTACAGAGGCTACGTAACGGGCTGCAGCACTGCCACTGCGGGCAGCAGTGGGATTAGGAAGCTGCTGCCGCTTCGGAGGGTAAGGCTCTCTGTGCTCCCATTGGCCTGATCCCTGCACTGCCCCACATGCTCCCTCACTGCCCACCTGCCTGCCCCCCCTGGCCGATTTGTGCTGTGCTGGTGCTGTTTAGTGACATCTGATGTTGTGTATGTGGGTGGCTAGATGTGAATTATGTTTAGCTGACCTGGTTAAATGAATCATTTCTCTTTTTGTCTTTTGTTTCTCTATCTCAGGACTCATATACAATGCCACTCACCTCCATCCAGTGTTGGCACGTGCACTGTGAAGAATGCTGGCTAAGGACTCTGGTAACAATTACACACTTGCTGTTCAGTAGGCTGTTTTCTGCAGGTTTAGGCAGTATCTGAAAACCTATTGTTTGTTCAATTCTACACGTTACTTCGTAATACATATGTATTTGTTTTTAAATATTTGGGCTAAATAGATGATGGTGATAGTTAAGAATCAGGATATTTAGGGGTGTGCACAAATAGTCGAATATTCGATCTGTAACTATTTTTTTACAGTTATAACTAAATGTACTCGGTGGAGCATGTTAAAAAGTTGGTTGTATTTGATCACAGAATGTTGCCGTCTGCCTCATGAAGTTTGGAATTACTTTGATCAAAATGATCTTACTAAATGTTCTTACAAAATTGAATTACTTTTGATCAAATGAATCAGTGAAACGGAGTTATCATAATATCACCACCACAATGAGAAATCACATGAAATCCAAACACCAGTGGACTGTGGAAAGACAGCTGTCCATCACTGCATTCACGACTGCAGATAAGCGCAGATGTGAGCCGAGGAGAGAGCTTATCTGACTGCGAAATGATCTTGAGACATGTGCTTCCTTTAAGTTTCCTCGAGGGAGAGTGGTTTAAGAACAGAAAGCACAAAGTGCTGTAAGAAACTTAGCATACCATTATCTTTGTGTCTCTGGAACGCCTGTGTCGGAGCGCGTTCCTATTGTTATCAGACTGTGAAGCCAACTTTCACCCGAGCATGTGGATACAGGTTTTCAACTAAAGGAAAGCCTTGAGATATAACGTAACGTTGTTGTAGAACATTGTTGTGTACAATGCCTAATCACAAGCTTGTTCAGAAATGGTGAAAAAAGCTTGAATAATAACATCTTTCTCGTTAAACGTCATTTAAATAAACACATATTCGAATATTCTTTATTATGAGGCCATATATTTGAATACAATAGGATTTTACCAAACCCTAATGTTTATACCTACATTGCTGATATAGTAGGTAAAATGTTAAATCATGCTTGCTTACAAAATATAAGTGGGTTTTTATACATGAATATATATACAGTGGGTACGGCCCACTGTATATATATATATATATATATATATATATATATATAGCTTCCTATATATTTTTGTAAGGTGGTCCATCAAAAAGCAAAATCGGTATAATAAATTGTTTATTTTTTCATTTATTTTAAAGATTTTTGTTTATATCACCATCGCTGTAATAGTTGGTAGAAAAAAGATGTGCAAATACTAGATATTTTAGATTATATTTTTAATAATTTGAAAGCTTTTTTAAAGAAATCAAGCTTATTTGTCACATTATAAATTGTTTTTTATATATAAAAACATATCGCTTCCTTTTTATTCTTGGAAGAGGTCCCTCACAAGAGGTTCATCATATTGAAGGGTCTTTGGTTTGAAAACCCCTTCATTAAGCAATATACATCATATGGCACGCATCACAGGCTGTTCCTTGGTTTACTTTAAGTCACATCTTTGTACTTTCCTCATACTGAAGTGTAACTGAAAATAGGGGTATTGCAGATGTAGATGGTTTAAGTTTTGAAATGCAGGTAGTTTGTGTACATATTAAATTTCAACTCTGTGCACCACAGAGTGCCCAGACCTTCTCATACAGTGATGAGTCACTCATGGCCTAGGCCAGTGTATAATGCGGATAATGGAGTAGTTTATTTTGATAATGCTGTGGTATTTGGCTACAGTGTAAGTTGAAGAGTTCTTCTCAACCAGTCCAGTGAGATTCCTCTTGTAGCGCTCCAGGTTCTAATCCCTTTAGACGGCATTGCGTGTTCAACTAACCTCTTATCAGAATTGCGATTGCCTCTGCTTGTCCATTTGTCATCCCCACACTTACAATCGCTAGCTCTTCCTCTTTTCTAAGCTGTTTTAGCCAGTCTTCCTCGGGGAGCCCACTCTCATTAGCGACTAACACATTCTGTCACCACACACGGAAGCAACTAATAAGGAAATGTTTCCCAGCTTCAGCCGTTTTCCAATATGCTATATATTAAATCAGCTCCACTCATCACAAGGCCTTCTGTGTACGGCTTGCCGACAAGAGGGGAACAGAGACGTGTGTGCGCGCCAGCCCGCACTGCCACAGCAGATTGTTAGTAATGCAGGCATTAAAATTGTTGCCTAAAGACAGCAATAAAAGTAGCACGGCAGGGCTCCTTGCATCTTGATCAAAGTAAATGCGTTTAATTTGGTTAGCGTCAGCCTTGTTTTATGAAGCTAATGGAGCGTAGCAGCTACCCGCCGCTGATGCGAGCAGCCCACGTTTAGTACGCAACCTGCCCATGCTCATTAAAACTAGGTAAACTCCTGCTTCTTCAAACAAAGGAACCAAATCTCAGGTCCTCCTTGTGTCCGGGGAATCGTAGCTATAGAAGGAAGCACGCTGGGGGTTTTGCTGCTACACTAGTTTGGGTTTTACTCAAAAATTAGCCTAAAATGAACCTGATTCATGTAGGGAGTCAGAAGGAGAATCCAGCTTCAATTTCATAGTTTTACTCCTTCAAGCTGGCCACATCAAAATAAACCGCTCACATAGTCAGACCATGATGTCAAATTTGAAACCATTGCGATTATTTGCACCATCCAATGTTAGAGCTCATTGTTACAACATAACAAGCCAGAGTGTGTGTGGCTGGATCTCTTTGTTTCAGTCTGTACAGTCAGGATCAGTGAACTGGCTTCTGGTGCCCTAGACATGAACTGAATCGTATGGAGCCACAAATCCTCTTAACATTCAGATGTGAAGGCACACTGTAGGGTTCACGCTCTGACACCCTTACTGCTCCCAGACTCCTTAGTTTGCTAACAGGAAGTCTAGAGCAAAAAGTCTTAGTATGTTAACCCCTCTGCCCCCCCACATACACATATTAGTTCCTATAGAAGCTGTAGCAGTGCACTTCATGTGTATGAGGAGAAATACTCCTTGTGTGTGATCAGTGGCATATATGCGAGAAGGTTACACGAGGATGTGATCGCCAATGGTTGTGAGATTCCTCACAGTAACGGCGCTGTCTGAACTTCACCCGACTGTTGGGTTCCTTTTGCGGGGCAACACACAAACGTGAGGATTTTATAACCCTTGTGCCTTGCTGTCTACGTCTCCGTCAAGTGTTGTGGTATTTTTGAAGCTGAGTTTGCTGACTTTTAAGAGCAGATCCTGTTGTGATGTTCAGTCTTTCCCTGTGTAGCATGTGGTGGATGCAGACGGCAGACCACACAGCTCACCTTCCTCCTCCTCTACCTCTCCCTGCTGCTCTCCTGCTTTTATGGTGCAGACTTTATGGGTACTGGCTGAACATCAGAGTGGTAGTGGGAAAGGCGCATGCTTGTCGAACAGGGTTGGCCGCCCATGTAAGGCCCCGTTTTTATGTCCACATACACACACTATTAAACTACACTACCTTTCAAAAGCTTGAGCTCAGTAAGAGAGAGAGAGAGAAATTATTTTATTTAGCAAGGATTAAAGTGCATTAAACTGCTCGACAGTAATGTAAAAAGTTGCAATAGATTTCTATTTTAGATGAAAGTAACTTTGAAAAAAAAAGAATCAAGGTTTACACTAAAATATTAAGCAGCACAAATCAGCATATTAGAATTTCTGAAGGTTCATGTGACACTGAAAAGTGAAGCAATGGCTCCTGAAAATTCAGCTTTGCCATCAAAAGAATAACTTACATTTTAATATGTATTAAAATAACAGACTTCCCCAAACTTTATAAATGCTATTGTAGACTGAGACAAAAATCCTTGTACAACAAGAGCCCCTTGTGAGCATATAATTTTGCATTTTAAATCTGAAATGACCACCTTCTCACTCTTCTTTTTTTTGTGTTTCTCTTTCAACAGGGAAACAAGAAACTCTGCCCACAATGCAACACCATCACGTCGCCAGGGGACCTCAGGCGTGTCTATTTGTGAGCAGAACAGCCCGGATTTTTTTGTTGTTTTTGTTTGACTTTTCGTTTCCATTTTTGCTAGTGTTTTTGGTTTCCCCACTGCCTGAGGGATTGAAGTGTCGTCCTGACCATGAGAGGCTCGAGTACAGACTCACACTGACTTTAAATGGGGACTGACTTCACAAGCATTGGACTAATGGGGACTGTGTAGACTCAGTCCTCTACTATAATGGCTTATGTGAAGAGTCTTCCCGCCTCCCTCTTGTGTTGGTCCATGGTCCACCCTCTCCAAAGTCAGCTTGGTTCCTTAATGAGGAACCTGTTCTTCTCAGATGAAGGAAAGAGTACTCATTCTGTCCCTCCACTCGCACTGCTGCTGCTCTTCGTCTCCCACTGTCGCAACTTCTTCACCAAGACCACTGACGTCAACCCGACTGGAACATCAGCCTGATGATAAGAAGAGACTTTAAATGGACCACCCGAGGCTCTCCAGATCCCCTCGATCTTGATTCTTCATTGTGTTCTCATTTGCCCCAAATCATTACTACTTTTGTGGTGTTCTAGTGATGTCAACCAAATTCAATGAATCAGTGCAAGCACATGTATAATAGTCTCTGTATGTTTACGGTGTTGTGAGTAAATGACATAGAGAACAAAACACTTCTATACACACGCGCACACATGGACATACACATGCACATACAGAAGTATATATTGAATAAAAGTCCCGATTTAGTTGGGTGTGGTTTGGGTCGGGAGGGAGGGGATATGTTTCAATCTTGGTGAATTAAAAAAAAAAAAAAACAGAAAAGAAAACCCTCTGTATTTTCAAAGCAGATGTTGTCTTGAAGTTGAAGTTGTATTTCATTGTACAGGAAGAAATTTAAGTAATAATAATAATAAACTACTCGAACTAGGACTGAAAAGATTTAGGTGTACATTTTTCATTGAAATATGCAGTAAAAACTAGATTAAATCCTGAAACAAGGGAAAGTATCTTTCTTTTTCTTTGCTTTTTTTTCTAAGAAATGGAAAGTTTTGCTTTTATTCACCCACGTTTTTGACTTGAATGCTGTCTGTCTGTTACAAACAATTGAAATTATTGCTTATTCATTCCATTGAACATACAGTATTAAGACCCCTGATCAGTTGCATATCGGTTTCTTCCTTCAGAAAAGGGACTTTTCTGAAAACGTCAAACACTTAGGGTGGTTTCATTTATAAGTTATGTTCCGATTTCCTCTGAGACTTTTTTGGTTTTTCCTCGAAGAATGAACTGGAAGAGTCGAGACTCGTTTCCCTGACTGGATGACTGCTCATGTTTTTCCCTAGGATTGAGACAGTGTGCTTTATATTTGTACATCTATGTATTCTGTGATTTCTGTATTGATGTAGGCGCAAAAAAAGGAAGAAATGAAAGGTGTTTGCTGATCCCAACGCCACAATAAACAGTCAAATGTTGCATTTGTTATAACTTATTTCACTGTTCTTTAAATCTTCAGCATAGCTGGGTCACAGTCAAGTACCGTAAAAACAGCTGTACCAATATCCTCAAGATTTACACTTAAAATCACTGTTTCCAGATGTTAAATACCTCTCTCTGCAACTATTTTGTAAAATACGTGTAGTAAATGAGGATTAGGGTTGACTCTTTGTATTCTTCCTTTGCCGAACAATTCGTTCCTGCCCCAAAGATGACAGATTGCACAAGATGATTGTGTGATATGATTTGTGTCCTTGTATATTCTTGAAAATGGTACGCGTCTTTCCCGTTTGTAAGCTACATTTGACATCAATTAAATGACTAAATCTGAACTGGTCACTATGTGCTGGCGTCATTCACTGTCAAGTGGAACTATACCAGTTTGAATACGGTAGAAGTGAAGCTGGTTATCATGTTACCGCATGCTGACATAGCTTTTGAAGTAAATCAGTCAATATTTGTCCACTGAGTTTCAAGCAGCAAAACAACTTCCTAACACATTGTAATTTTTTAATATCGATGTGCATTACACTGCATCCGGGTAGAGATAATAATGAGGTTTTGACACTATTCCATTGATTTTATATCTTCCCCAACACTAAGTGCATGGAATTAGGTCTTTGGGCCTAATTTTAGACCTTTTTGGAAAAGGGAAGCGTTAGTGTTCTATTCTGCCATCTACAGGCTATACCCAGGTGACATTTTACCGGAACAGTATCAAAGCATAAGCACCACACACTTTAATGATAATTAATGACCACACACTGCAAATAAATCTCATGAAATTGCAAGATGTAATTAAGAAGTCATCTACCTCCGCTGTAAAGCTTCTGATCCTAGGCCAAACTCTAGGTACATGCTGTATTGGAGCAGCGTTGAGAAAACAGTAGCAGGGTCCATAAGCATTTTCAGATGCCCGTAAAATGTTGATAGATATGTTGGAAAATCAGCAGGAGTTTCTATTAATTATTTTAAGCCTAGCTCCAACCTCTTGTTGGAAGTGTTTGTGGGTTCTTTTGAAAGGAATGAAACAAGCTTGGAAAACCTGTAAGTAAACTGCAGTTATGTTGTTGCAGTTTATGGACTTAATTATGGTGCACATACAAGTGAGGCCATTTTTATTTTGTGAATCAGAAGTCAGTTGTCTAATGTTGCAGTGGGTTTGAATTGTTAACTAAAACTAAAATCATAAACATTTTCTTTAACTAAAATAAAGCTCAAAATATGAATATTAGATACTTAATGAAAATCTGAAATGTTATACTACTGATGTCTCTAAAATGCCTTTCCCCTCAATTATAGCAACTTTTAATTTGAGTTGTATACTATATACTATAGTAGTATACTATAAATTGTATATGCATAAACTATGACCTGAATATACATGTTATGTTTTTTTCAAGCTACAAAAGTTAATCAGCGAGCAGAGCAGTGAGTGATTTCTCTTTTTCTTTCGTTCTTTGATTTACACCAATGGCACAGACTGCAGCAGGTTTCACTTTAAAACCAGTGTTGTCTCTGTAAAACCTGATGGACATGACGCAGATTTGACAAACATCCGATTTTCTCCCAACTCTTTATGGTCATTTAGGACTTTTAACTCAATTAAGACAAAAGGGCATTTTGACAATTTTTTGTGTTTTTGCATTGCCAGTAAGTGGTCTTTTGCGTCTTATCATGCTTTCATATTTTATGTATTTGTTCAATATTTCATTTTCAACAATATTTGTTCAAAATACAATAATATTTTTACTGTTTTCTCTTTAAAAAAAACTGGTTAATATAGTCTACTTTAACACTATATTAACCAGTATATATATATAAATTACACTCTTATAATTACAATGCTATAAAAATTACACTGTTTTTGAAGTTGTTATTGATGTACAAAAAAAATAGAAATGTCATGTCTGAGATTGTTGTAACGACTCATATTTACTTCTACTGGATCCACAAAGATTAAACAAAAAGAGAGTGAATTATGAAATTGATTTACACAATGTTTAATTGTTAGTTCATATTTTATGTATTTGTTCCAATAAGTTTTCCAACTTGTTTGCTTTAGAATATTATTTTTCCTATTTTATGTATTGGGATTCCGTGGGAAGTTGTGGCCTAATGGTTAGAGAGTCGGACTCATAACCCAAAGGTTGCAGGTTTGAGTCTCGTACTGGCAGGGATTGTAGGTGGGGGGAGTGAATGTACAGTGCTCTCTCCCACCTTCATCACAACGACTGAGGTGCCCTTGAGCAAGGCACCAAACCCCCAACTGCTCCCCAGGTGCCGCAGCCAACATGTCTATGTTGAATCCTCAGTATTGGTGATATCTTGTAGGGACAGGGATTTAAAGGTTACCAGAGGTCAGAATGGGGTCCGGGCAGTAGGTGGTTATGTGTCTCCTATGTAGTGGTGAAAGAATGTAACTGTGGTTAGATCATCTCACCTCTCTACCATCTAACCCAAGTCTTTACTTACTGTCAAAAACTGTGTATTCCAGACAGCCGCGCGATCCATAGAGTGCATTAGGCAGGCTGCGGGCTGGGCTCGGGTTACTGCCCACTCTGTGGCCTGAGTGGCGCTAGAACCAGGAAAGAAGCCAGATGAGTAGAAGCAGATCTATAGAAATTGCTTTTGGAGGTCAAAGCCATCCCTGATGAGGTGTATAAAGTGTGGGGGCCATTATAGGCAGTTTACAAACATCTCCGCAGACCAATCAATAGGACAGGCCTTCTCTGCTGCGTTGGATAATTCCTCGATCGCATTGGCTGTCTGTACCAATGGTAATTTACACCTTCATGTGGGAATTTTACCATGTCTCCACCCCTTCAGTGTCCACTACTTCCTGGTTGAAGTGCTTGTACAACTCATTAGGATCCTCTCCTCTCCTCAGCCTCTTTATAAAATCGATCCACTCGAGGTGCTTGACAGAAAAAAAGGCTTTGGGTAGTTTGTTATGCGCTGGAGTAGGAAATTGAGGAATGTTTGGCCATCTGGCATATTTTTAAATTGTTCATCCAGGTTTAGTGCTGCAAAATAGCATCTCCAGAGTGTATTTAAACTCCACACATTTTCATATTTTCAGGAAGCCGATATAATGAAAATTTACTGGTTGTGCATTAGGTCCACTTGACCATAAGTGGATAGAGACAGATTTAATTCCCTGTAACACAGACAAATGCTTTTGGTCACAAAGTTATTTTTGCCAACCAGGAGCGGAACTATAAAAATGTTTCCAAACTACTGTCACTAAATAATGTCAATATAGGAGAGACTGGGGTTGAAAATTAGGTACATGGAATGAAATCACCACCATACATGACCGGCATCCAAAATTAATACTTTTATTCAGCAAAATTAAAATCTGACTAGCATTAAACTGATCAAAAGAGACAGTAAAGACATTTAGAATCAGAATAATAAAGATCTTTATAGCCAGGCAACACATACAAGGAATTGATTATGGTGACAGGACAAAGCACAAAAAGAATGACAGTGACAAGGCACAGATAATAAAAATTGAATAAGCAAATAGGAAATAGCAATATACAAAAAATTTTTGAAGAAAAACACAATATACAAAATAGACAGTGGATCCAACACCAATCGAGCTGGGCACAGAGAGCTGGGTTAATTTGGACTGGAGGAGGTTTGGGATGATAGTGTTGAAGGCCGTTGAAGACCTTTTATATTGTTTCAAAAGAATTATATTTCAGAGAAAGAATTATAAGAATTATATTTCAAACAAATGCTATTATTTTGAACTTTCTATTGAATTAAATTGAATTAAAATGGAATGGGTTCAGCAGAACTAATACAATAATGCACACAGCTTAGGGACAAGTTGTAGGTTTCAAATTTATTGATTAAATGAAATAAATAGCACAAAAACACAGTTCCATATTCCAAAGTCTTATCTGCTCATTTGGCAGCGCATGGAACTTTTAAAACTCTTTATGGATAGTTATAGTTTATGGATGCAAAATGTCCCCTTTTCTTTTGTCTTTCACAAGTTGCCTGGAGGAATTAAATGCTTGTGTTTTTGTCAATGTTTGAAAGCGTTGTTCTCTAGCTAACATTGTAGCTAAGCCGTACTGAATTGTTCTTATATTCACCAATGCTGACAAGATTTCCTGGTGATGCTTGTTTAATAACGAGGTGAGGCGAAATGGTTTGTGTGTTTGTGTAGGTGATGTAGGTGCATGTATATGCATGCATGTGTGTGTGTGTGTGTTAGCACTGACAGGATTACCATAAGCCTGCACGCGTGAAAGATGAGATATTAAGATTACGCTGCCGTAGACTCTTAATGGGCCAGCGTGGGAGTGTTGTTCCCCAGGCACAGTAATCTCTCGCAAGACCTATTTATTACCAAAGGAAATATGCTGTAGCATTCATACCCGCTACTTCCCTGAGATTACACATATCAATCACAAGAACAACGTATACGACCCCTGCAACAAGATGCATCCATACTCAGAGCGATGTATCGGAGTGTTTATCAACTTTGTCTGCCATGTTTGATTATGGCAGACTGCCACAAAGAAATCAACAAGGCCTGACCTGCTGACCTCAAAAAATTACAAAACAGCTAGACTGACTGGCTTTGAGGGCCTGACTAGGTAAGATACTAAAATTAACTTATATTTTGTAACACTGCAATGCTAAAAGTATCATGGGGAAAATGTAAGTATTCATATTAATCTCATGATAAAAGTCTACAGGACATATTTTTAAAAAAGTTTTTGAAAATGTCTAAGTCAAAGTAAAAAGAAAAAAAAAGTCAAATCACTTTAACAATAATGTCACATCCTAGAACTCTGGTCTGCATTATTTTATTTTAAATGAGAGATTTACTCCCAACATTATCATAATAACAACCAGGCCTACTGCATACTAGACCATTTTTGTAGTACAACACACGTGCCACATGAGGGTGCTAAGCACCGCAAAAGAGTCGGGGAGAGACTAGCGGATTCAAGGCAAAGGTAAACTTCATTTTGAGGGAGAACTTTTTAAAATAGTATCTTGAATCGTTTGGTTACTCATTAGCAGAATAAGTTGCCATGTATGCTGTATCCAACTGCATTTCGACACAGTAGTCATGTGGCTGGTTTCTCAGTGTTTTTGTGGCCTTTTGTTGTGTGAGGACATTACACTTGTGTGATAGCAGCTCCCAAGTGATTTTATCAACTCACCACAACATTATTTAGCTCTATTTTGAGTCTCACATGTCAACAGGAGGTTGTTGATGTAACACGAGTCTTGTATTTTGTAGTATTGGGCCATATTTTGCACACAATTATCACTTTAAAATTGCTAACAGCTAGTGGCCAGTAAGCCCAAACATGCTGTCAAAGTAATGTTCATGTGACGATTGCGTGCAGCTTTTACATCAAATAATTTAATAAAAAAGTGGTTTTATTAAAATAATAAAAAACAATTAAAAAACGTTTGTAATTTAAAAAAAAGTGTTATGTTAAAAAAAACAACCTGAGTTTCTTGTCTCACATTGTTTTATTTCAATAAAAGATTTGCTCAGTCAAATAAATAAATAAATATACATAAATATTGATTTATTATAGAAGTAGAGTAAGTAAATTTTGACTTTGTTTATACAGGTCAGAATTAAATTTAAGAGAAAATTCTACATGAATTGCTGTTTGCAACCTGTGTTTCTTAATTAAGGTATAAAGGTTAAATTTGACAAAGATAATATATATATATACAGGTGCATCTCAATAAATTAGAATGTCGTGGAAAAGTTAATTTATTTCAGTAATTCAACTCAAATTGTGAAACTTGTGTATTAAATAAATCCAATGCACACAGACTGAAGTAGTTTAAGTCTTTGGTTTTTTAATTGTGATGATTTTGGCTCACATTTAACAAAAACCCACCAATTCACTATCTCAACTAATTAGAATACTTCATAAGACCAATACAAAATTTTTTTTAGTGAATTGTTGGCCTTCTGGAAAGTATGTTCATTTACTGTACATGTACTGAATACTTGGTAGGGGCTCCTTTTGCTTTAATTACGGCCTCAATTCGGCATGACATGGAGGTGATCAGTTTGTGGCACTGCTGAGGTGGTATGGAAGCCCAGGTTTCTTTGACAGTGGCCTTCTTAGTTATAATGATCAATGTGCATAAAGCAGTCTTTGATGCAGTGTAAGCAGATCTAAACATATGCCGCATCCAAAACTTTTAATTTATTTTCACATTGTGAGTGATGACAGACCGTTCCAAGAATGCGGACACTTCAAAATATCTGAAGCAGTCGAATGTGGCATCTACCTATGAATCTATGCCTAAGGCCTGTTTCACACCGCATGTGTAAGCAGTGTATATATGAAGAGTTCAGATGCAAAACCCTCTAAAAGCCATCTGAAATTTTCTTCCAAAATTAGCATTTTTATCAAGCTCCTATGTTTATGTTAAGTTATTTCACTTTAATGGCAATGAGAATAAACTATGCAATGACATTAAAGTGAATTAACTGAACATAAACACAGCAGCCAATTAAAAATGCAAATTTTAAAGGAAATTTTCAGATGGCTTTTAGAGGGGTTTTGCATCGGAACTCTTCATATATATATATATATATATACATACAGTGGGTATGGAAAGTATTCAGACCCCCTTAAATCCTTCACTCTTTGTTATATTGCAGCCATTTGCTAAAATCATTTGTTAATTTTTTTTCCTCATTAATGTACACACATCACCCCATATTGACAGAAAAACACAGAATTGTTGACATTTTTGCAGATTTATTAAAAAAGAAAAACTGAAATATCACATGGTCCTAAGTATTCAGACCCTTTGCTGTGACACTCATATATAGCAAATTAGCAAATGGCTTCAATATAACAAAGAGTGAAAAATTTAAGGGGGTCTGAATACTTTCCATATCCACTGTATATATATATATATATATATTATTTTGGGGCTCTGTGGCATCTAAATAATATGTATGTGGAAAGTGGACATTATATAGACATTATACCAGACCAAATGCGAGTTTGCTAATATACTGATTTAAATGTTAATTGGCTATTATTTACCATTATCAAATAAACCATGTAGCCTAAGTGAGGTCAGTGAAAAGGGAAAGTTGTTATAGAATGCATTCTGATTTCATGTTAATTTTTTACGCTTATTAAAAACTTTTTCTCTGTAATATTGGAAAAACATTGCACCCAGCTATCAGTAACCTCCCACGTGGGCACGAGCAGTTGAAACTTTAGACCCCCAGCAGCCCCTCCACCACCCACTCCACACACACCGCTCGCACAAGAGAAGCCTTTGACTCTGCCGCCCAAGATGCTCCCGCCGTTTCATCTACCCCGCTCATCACCTTACCTTTCATCTTCCGTCTGCCCAGGGGGCAAACACTGGCCCTTTGTCTGCGTGTCGGGGGGCTGGGGTGTAGGATGTGTGGGTCTGCCATTTCTGTGTCCCTTACAGTATCTGTCTGTCTGAGAGGCAGGTGAATGACAGGTCTGAGCGTGGCCTCACATGAGCCTATAATGCCACTCATAAATCCTACTAGATCAGACGTAGAGTAAATTCAGTACGCCAGAACATCAGTGTTGCTTCACTTTAATGTTAACTTTAATTTGCAAAGGTGTTTCAACAGTTTGTGTACTGTCTTAATACAGAAAGATGTTGAAGCATCTGTTTTCTGAGGCTGTTTAAAGGCTTGTGCTCTGTAATAATGGCTTTGTTTGGTTTTCTCACTCTTTCAAGAACAGTACTTGTACTGTAGCCATGGCTCATCACACTCCATTACTTTGTTTGTCTTAGCGAGTATATGCTCTGCGAATTGTGTAATAATGCCACTAACTCTGTGTGTTAAACTGTGTCATAATCCTGCGACTGCTCTTTAGCGTGTTTAATGGGAAGAGCCGCTAATTAGGGGATTTTTACAAGGCTTAGCAAACATAACACTTGTTCTCAAACAAACACAGACACAATACATAGTTAACGCTGGCTTTGGTGTGAGGAAGCAGTGTACTGTACTGTTAGTAATGTTACACTTGTGAGATGTTCTTGGTGGTATTAGGACACTGTACACATTTTTAAGGATTTTGAGATCACATACAGATGAAGTACAAAGTTCAGTTAGAGGTTTTCTTTATTTAGAGTTGTGAATGGATTGTTCATCCACAAAAGCAAATTCTGTTGTTATTTATGGTTGTTTTAAACCTGTATGACCTTCTCTTTACTTTGTAATGCTTAAAAAGGAATTGTGTTTTCCAGGCCTGGAAAAGTTGGATCTTTTCAATGATTCAGTCAAACTGGTTCACAAATCAGACTCATTGGTGAATGGGTCTAAATTGTAAGGGTTTTTAAAAACCTGTATCCAAAAATCATTGATGGCTGGAAAGATCATGGAAAATTTAATTCGTTAATCAAAAAGTGACGGAATCTTGAAGAATGAAAGCGTGACCAGCTCCTAAGCTACTCAAACTCCTAAAACACCCTAAAAATACCACAAAACCGCATTACTCTTAGAAAGTTAATTTAAAAATAAAAAAATAATTTTATGACTGTTTTCAACTGATTGTACAGCTGTTTTCAACTGATTGTTTTAAAGGATCATGTGACAATGACTGGAATAACAGCTGTTGAAAATTTAGCTTTGCCATCACAGTAATAAAATATTTTTTTAAATACCTAAAAAAAATATATATTTTTTAATAAAAGCATGCATGCTTTGGTGTGTAATTTCTTGGTGACTTCTTACTGACCCAAAATTTTGAACAGCAGTTTATACAGTATAGTTCACCATCTGCCTAATGTTGCACAATGTGGTGTGTTTGTGCGATGAACAGACTGACATTTTAAGTCATTAAGTTATTACTGAAAATCTTAACCTCCATGATATCAAGTCAAACAGGGTTCTGCTTGGTAAAAAAATAAAAAAAGCGTAATTTAAAACATTTCTACGTAAACATGACTAAGTATTTTTAGTTTGGTCTTGGTTTGTTGAGACTGAAGAGAAATAAACTATTTTCCTTCTACCATTCTGATTAACATACTGACATACTCCATTCTAACATACTCTTCTATACACTCAACCCATTTCTAATCCTCATGCCTTGGCAGCTCTTGAAAAAGACAGGGAGAGAGCAGGCATGGGGCAACAGTTTGGCCTGGACCAGACCCAGTAGTAAGATAAGGACAGAGAGATGTTGTCTTGTTCAGTCTGTTATCTCTGACAGCAGTGCCCTGATCCTTACAGTCAATATGGTGAGTGAGCAGGAGAATGTTGACTCTGCCTCGTCCATCACTCCTGCTGGGGAGACCATTGTTACCTGTACTACATGTCCCTATCTTCATTCAGAGTGTGCTTATTTGCTCTACTATATTCGGTTTTATTTGATACGTAGCGTATAGTTATGCCATGGCTGTTCTTTGGTTTGTCCTGTACTTTTGTTGTTAGCAGTACATCATTGAATCCACTAGAGGGCAGCAAATAAACACGTTTTTGGGTCATATAACAAGACGTTTTATTTATTTGTATAGTTAACTTTGTAATTTAACTAGGCTATTTATGAGGCCTGTTTCCCATTTACAGTCTACTTATCTTAAATTATCTTGTTCAACCTCAGAGGAGATCTTTTTGCATCTGTTTTGCATATGAATGCAATCTAAGTAGAACAGGAGAGGCATGCTGAAATGTGATTATGCTTCTTTTTTACTCTGTTTCTCTCTCTTCTTTTCTTTCTATCATCATTTCTGTCTTATAAAGAAAAGGTAGAGTATGATGGCCTGAGGCAGCCGTGACTCACCTGTGCAAACAGGGGTTGGAAAGACTGGTTTTAAATCCGCCAAATCCACTGTATTCTGTAACTGACTGCCAGCTTTATATTTTTCCTTAATTAACCACAAATTTAAGTACTTAAAAACTTTGTCTGTGCCATTCATGATGCTAAACTTTACTTCTTTTAATTGCAGACAGTTATCAGCTCTACAAAAGAGGACGAGGAGTAATGTTTTGATTCACTAGTATTTAAAGTACAACTAGGGAAAGAGAAAACACCATTACAGGTTAGTATAATCCCTGTGTCATTCATGTCACAGTTGACTTTATGTTGGGACATTAAGATATGTCATTCTGTTTCCCTTTTTTGTGGTCTGCATAATATTTCTCATTACTGTGAATGTTAACATCCCAAGAGTACAAATAAACCTTATCGCTCTTCCTATTAACTCCCAGTGTAAATATTGAAACGGCTCTGAATATGAAAATGTTAGTGTGTTTCTGCATTTAACAGGATGTTAGACAGACGTGTCCTTTGTTTTCCCATGGCAAAGATATTGTTTTTTCTCTCTTTCCAGTAGAGTAAAGCAGATTAGTCACTTTTCATAAACTCAGAGTCATTCATCTGCACTATTAATATTTTTATACCCAGTGTTGTCAAAAAATGTTGTCATTTGTTGCCTTGGAATGTTTTTTTCCCCCTACTCTTAAACCAAAGACCATGCAAATCTGACAGCTAATTCCATAGTTTCCTTCTTTGTCTGTCCATTTTAAATATGTACATGACATTTCTGCTGTAGTGTGAAGCCTCAAGGGAAATATATTTGACTAAGTCGATTTCTCACACTCCAACTTAAACCAACACAAGCTGCTTTTGTCATGACTCATGTATCATAGCTTACATTAGATTTGCAGTGACTATGCAAACGGTCTACTGTCTACCTTGAATACCAGTGTTGTTATTTTTGTAAAACTATGAAATATTGTTTTCTTAATTGAAATAAGCTATAAATAGATGAAAGGTTACATTTAAAAAATTGTAATGAAAATGAGAAATGTTGCTTGAAATAAAGTTCAAGTTGAAGTATTAAAATTACTCAAAGTAAAACTGAAATAAAAATAAATTAAAGCTAAATAGAAATGTTTAAAATAAAACATAAAAATAACAAAAGTACAAAATGACTCAAAATTAAACCTGAACATATAAAAGCTAATTCAAAATATGAATCAGTACTATAATAGTATATAAATAATATTAAAATAACACTGCTGAATACCCTCATGGCTATATTAGTACCAGAAAAACACAGGTGGCACAAAAGGATGATGCCAGTTCAACATGCACCAGGTGGCATTTGTTCAAGAGTGGCTCTTGCGCGAGGATATTTATTCTTAGATGTTCTCTTTAAAGTCCTTATATATCCTGCGTCAAAAAAAAACAAAAAAACTGCAGCCTGGCCCTCCCCCAGCCTGCCTCTGTGCACGTAGGATTTTGATGTGGTGTCAGACAATGGGCGATTTAGAGATTTCCTGTTTCAGAGTGTCGTATGATTTGTCCTCAGGCAGTGATGTTTAAGAAACCTTTTGTTACAGAATAGGACCAGTGGAAACTATACTTCCCAAAGGTCCTTTATATCACCTGTTGAATACTGGGATTGCAAGCCATTGTGCGGTGATTTACACAGGTAACATTGGCTCCAGTGACCCCGGCTTGACATGCACAGATTTAACAGTGTATTTGATATGGCTGCTTTTTTGCTTTTACCGGATTTTTCTGTCAGGAGAGCAGGCTTTGTGGCAGACAATGCCTTTTGTTGGTGGGCACAAAGAAGAGGTTTCAAACATCTATTCACGTTTCCACTGTGATTATGGCCCATGGATGTATAATTTCATCAGAGAGGAACAAAATGTTTGCCGTCCATCAAGCATCGAAAAAGAATATAACTCAAAAAATTATTTCATTTGCTTACATTGCTTATTCGTGGGGGTGATATGTGTAGTTTGGTGCAGGTGTGAGACGGATTATTATAATTTGGAGCCCAGGCGTTCTGTTTACTTCCTGCATGTCAACTCCAGAACTCCTGCATGAGAGGGTGAGACATGGCGACAGGTAAACAGGACTGACAGGGAGGATGTAGTTCATGAACAGTATGTTTTTGCATGTCCCAGCCTGGAAATGCTTGTTCTCTGGGCGAAATGTTCAAGACCCAATAAGTGTGTGTGTGTGTGTAAGAGATGAAGTGTGTGTGTAGAGTAAGGGGGGATTGGGATGGGAGGCCAGAAAATGTCTGTGAACAAGAGAGAGGATTGACGGAAAAAGAAAGAAAAGAAAGAGATGGGGACAAAAGAGAGAACTGGCTTATTGAGAGAACATCAAACGGCTCTCTTGGGGCTCTCCTCCTGCTGGACAGGTTTTGCTCATCTGCCACTTCCATTGAGAACAAGAAGAGCCAAAACCACATCCACATCATTGTTCCTTTACTTTCTCTGCTCGACTTTTATCACGGCATCTGTAAAAACAAAGATAAAGTTTATTGCTTCAGTGTACCATTTAAGTCAGCTTACACTTCTCACATTGACATCATCAGTGAGTCATTTCCATCCATGAGAGATGTTGAATAAACAGATTAATCTATATTGTGTGGGTACAGATTTGGTTTAAAATGCTTTGAGGAATTGTTCACCTAGCAAAAAAAGTAATTCTGACATCATCTACACCTCTGTTGTTTAAAACCTGGATTATTGTTCTCGTTCTGTAGAAAGCAAAAGAAGTCGTTTAGCAGAATGCCTAAACTGTTCATTTCCATTCGTCAAAAGTAGATGAGGACCTGCAGATGGCTGTTAAGCTCCAAAAAAAAGCACCATGAAGTTATTCATATTCTATATTTCAAGTCTTCTGAAGCTATATGACAGCTTTGTTTTAGAAATGGGCCAAAAGTTGTTATTCACTGAAAATCATACACAAAAATAGGGGTTTCGATTGACATGAGGGTGCGTAGATGTAATATTCCATTTCACTTTTGCATTTTTTCATGTTTGGGGTTGGTAGTAAGGTGTTTAAATGTTTTTTATGTCTCTAATGCTGACCAAGGCTGAATTTATTTGGTCAACAATACGGTTATAACAGTTATATTTTGGAATGTTACTACAATTTACAATAACTGTTTTCAAATAGTATTCATGAGATGGCAAAAGTTAATTTTTTTGTAACAGTATAAATGTATTTACTGTCACTTGTGATCAGTTTAAAATGGGATAGCTCTCCCAAAAATTAAAATCCTGTCATAATTTCTTCACCCTCATGTTGTTAAACTTGTATGACTTTCCCATTGACTTTGATCACAAACTTTCTTCAAAAAAATATATTCTTTGGTGTTTTATTTTGAACTATCCATTTAATACATACTTGCTGAATACAATAATTTATTTATTTAAAAAAAAAAATTTTTAAAAGGCAGTGTACATTAATATCTTAAGGTCTGTCAAATTCACTAAAAAAATTTTTTATTGGTCTTATGAAGTATTCTAATTTGTTGTTTTTGTTAAATGTGAGCCAAAATCATCACAATTAAAAGAACCAAAGACTTAAACTACTTCAGTCTGTGTGCATTGAATTTATTTAATACACGAGTTTCACAATTTGAGTTGAATTCCTGAAATAAATGAACTTTTCCACGACATTCTAATTTATTGAGATGCACCTGTATATCTTTGACATGGGAGTTCTGTCATTGTTTGTGGATGGCTGGAGGCCTTTCAGACTTCCTTCTAGATTAGTCTTTCCTCTGTCTGTAAATCCCAGTAAGCTTTTTGCTCTTCAGAGACAAGATGATGAATCCAACCCAGTAATCTGAACCCACTATGTCTCTAAATATGTTTCAGTCAAGACCCATGATCATGCCTTAAACGGGGCATCTTCAACAGGACCACATCTTGGTGCCCTGTGGCCTGGTAAGAAACAATAAGAGCTCGAAGCTGAAGTCCGAGTGTACCAGACACCTAGCGTGGAGCTGTCAAAAAGGAGCGAGTAAGTGAACAACACTAGATAAGGATCAGATATAAGGGAACCAGGGTTGGCTCTTTCAGCATGTAGATACTTGTCAAAGGAAAAATGCTAAATCTTGCTTTTAGGGGATCTTCTGAGGAGATAACAAATGCTACTGCACGCTGTTTTCTCTTTCACTCTCTCGCAGTCTAATTCTACTTTTTGGTCATGTACTGCATTCTGGCAGAAGATGAATAGAACACAATAGCAAAGACTGTTTGCAAACATATGAATGCATTTGGCAGATGTTGTTATCCAAAGATTCTGCATATGTACTTTTTGGGAGTTGCATTCCTTAAGAATCATGACCTTAGTGATGCTGGTGCAGTGATCTACTCATTATTTAAGCTACAGGAATGTTTTCTTTGTTGCTATAATTTCTTAGAACTTAAAGTCCTGTTTTAAAATGGTAATTATAAATAAATCAAACAAGACAATACTTCGAAACTGTAAAACCTGATGTATCACCAGAACTAGGTGTGTGAAACTTGTTCACCATTTTGTTTTAAATACTAAGCGTGGATTCTGCTTATTGCGTAACAGTATTATATAATAAGACTTGTCAAAGCAGTTAAAGTGTTTTTTTAAAACCTCATAAGCTATTAAGAACACAGATTCATCATGTTGCCAAAGTGCAACAATAATGTAAGCACATGACTGGCACAATCTCGTTGTCAATAATAATGAGATATATTTCATCATAAATCTAGTAAATAAAACAAATTGTGGGATTTTTTTAATGGTGCTCCAGCTAATGTAATGTTATTTTTATTTCTTTGTTTGTTGATAGTTTAATGCCAGAGGAAAATGGTGTCTGTCAGGTGTGGTTGTACTGTAACACAGTGCAAGAGACAGAACTTCTGCTTGCAATCATTTTATTTTCCTTACTGTCTGTACTTTTTTTTAGGCCTATTTTCTAGGAATATTTACACACTCAAAAATAATCAGGTCTAATATAAAATATTTCTGTATTTTTGTCCATTTGTGTAATAGTTTTAACATATACAATTACCATGTTTATATATTTATTTTCCAATCTATTCACTTAACCAGCCTCATCTTCCACAGATCAGTGTGGAAGATCTTGACTGTCCAGCACAGAGCCCTTAGCTCAATCCCACTGAACAACTTTGGGATGAACTGGAATGGACGTTGCGAGCCAGACCTTCTCGTCCAACATCAGTGCCTGACCTCACAAATGCTCTACTGGTTGAATGGGCAAAAATTCACACAGAAACTCATTAAAAACTTGTGTAAAGCCTTCCCAGAAGAGTGGAAGCTGTTACAGCTGTCCCAATACTTTTGTCCATATAGTGTATTTATACTGAATATAAGATTTTTTTTGTTTGTTTTTCTTGAGTACAGGCTCCACTGTTTGGTTGGACAACGAGATCTTTTCATATCTACTTAACACGTGATGTTCTAGGTGTTATGTAACACCTCAAACCACAAGACCACAAGATAATCTTTCCTGTTCTGAACTACAAATGTTTAATTTTCCTACTCAAACCATTGAATGCATCTTTTTAAATGCACCATCAACAAGATTAAGTCAAATTTCAGTGTTCACAAAGCCATACTTGTGTGTTTTGCAAGTTTGTGGCACACTCCGTGCAGAAACTCTGGTGAAGCTCAGGTTGATCTGCTGACAGAGGGATGTCTCAGAGAAAGCACTTGAGGGCAATTATCAGCGAGATGATGTAGTCAGGCTTGAATACAAGAGGGGGACCTGTCTCATCAATGAAAGCGTCAATCGCACAGACAGACAGACAGATCACTGCTCCTCAGGCTCAGGCCGACACATACCTGGCTCTTGTCCAGATTGTCTTTTTCTCCTCTCTCTCCGTCTCCCTCCTTATCTCTCTGTCTATCTATCTGATCAAGCAATACTTGCATTTATTTATATTATCACAATATTATCACAGCATGAAGCAATAGTCTCAGGTATGACAAGTGCAGACATTTCATATCCGTATGTGCCTGTCATTAGCAGGTGATTTCTCATGATGTGCTTTTATTAAATTTTTTGGATGGTGGAGCTTAAACAAAGCACGTAAGTCATTATAGGGTTTAAGGACAAGTCGAATCAAAAGCTGTCAGGTTTGATCAGTCAGCTCATTTTAGCTTCAGGGCTTTACATACTTTTGGCATATTAAGTGTTATGGCTTTCTATTGTGCTCTTCACAATCACGAATACCATTCCCCTTCTTATGAAGCGCTGCAAGACTTTACTTATTTGTAAAAGAGTCAAATTGCACACCTATACAATATACTACACTGCATATTCATGGCAACCACTTAAAGATTAAATCAGTTTGATGTTGAATGGTATCCTTCAATGCTTTTTTTTTTTGTCGTCAGTCAGCACATTGGGACACAACAGCTGTGTTTATTTAACAACTGTGGTACTGTTATGGTACAATTATGCCTTATTCACTCATTCAGCCAGTTACAAAGAACGAACGGTAAATCTTTATTTAGTGTTTGTGACCGTATCAATTAGAACATGTACAGTATGATGCTTTGATGTCATTCTGGATTGGTCCAAACATTTACATAATTAGTTGTTTCACACAAATCCATGACACTTCACATACATTCAGTTTGAATACTTCAGCTACAACACAGACAAAACAAATTCCACCAGGCCTTACATGAGGCAGTTATTCACTGATCAGTCACAGTTATCTGGAACTTGATTTTTTTACCCCGACAGCCAGGTTGATGCCGTTTAAAGTGTCTGGATGTGCTGACAGATTTATCCATTGCCCAAACACTGATCAACAATGCTGTCCTTAAAATGAGAGCCATCCTTTATCAGTGAGACAAGCCACATCAACTAGATTACACTGAGATGCCAACAGTCCCTTTGGTATTTTAAGTTGAAGTTTGTAGTACTGATGTTTGATTCCCGTTCACAAATATGTAAAGCACGGGTTAGGGCATTAGATTTATAGAAATATAAATACATTTGTTTTATATTTGAAAATGTAATTTATACCTGGGATGGCAAAATGTAATTTCCCGCAGCCATTACTTCAGTCTTCAGTGTCACATGATCCTTTAGAAATTATTCTGATTTAATATATTTTTTGTGAAAATCGTAAAAAAAATTGAGGTTTCTTTGGTGAATAGAACGTTCATAAGAACAGTATTTATTTAAAATAGATATGTTTTGTAAATTTATAAATGTTTTTATTGCCACTCTTGATCAATTGAATGTGTCCAAATAAAAGTGTTAAAGAATAAAATCTTACTGACCCAAAAGTTTTGAATGGCATTATATACAGAGTGCCAGAAAATACACTACAAATTATTTTAAACCGACATTTTTACATCATGCATTTCTTGGTGCTGTAGTCAATTTCCCACAATTCTTTTAGTCTTTTAAAAAAAGACTGCACGACTGACTTAATGCACTACTGAGACCACTGGAGGGTGCTCTACTTCTCATACAAGCCCCTATTTATGATTAGACAGAATTATATTATTATTAGTAATATTAGTATTATTGTTCTGCTGTCTCTCACACACTGTTGGCAATACACAAGATTTTGTGTATTGAAGAATGAAAAATGTTTCGCTTTTTTAATTTGGGGTGAGAGGGACTTAATACTAATATTAATAAAAAATATCAATGGCCATAACCATAATCTGCATGTCACAAAACTCCATGTCTCATGCAGTAACAAGCACAAAATTGGTGGCATTATCAAATACCTGATCGCTGTCGTCAGCTTGTTTGAACGCAAGACGGTTTCGTTTCGCGCAGTCCGTGACAATTTTGACAGTACTCCCCTGGGCCGCACAGTCACGTCTACCACCACGACTGCGCTTCCTTATCAACTGCTCACTTATTAGTTCATGAACTGTAATGATTGTGAGCTACGGCTGCTGCTCTGCACTGGAGGGGAGACTGCAGAGGGCTTTTAACAACTAACGGCATAGATGCATATCAGAATCCAGCAAAACAAATGGTTTATCAGATTCAAAGAGCTTACACAGAACATAATTTCCATTTGATGTTTGGAGTCCTAATCAGGAATGGCAGGATTTTGTTTGGTGCCAAGTGCAACAGGAGACAAAATTACCCCAAACTTCCCATTTGAAGAAGTGTGACTCTGAGACAAATGTCTTTCGTACTGCTGGTGCCACTAGTCCAATAACATCTAAATAGAAAATCTTGAGTGGAAATTGTCTTTCTATCTCAGGACTTTGATGTTACGCACAAGCAAATCCGCTGAGTTTCCTCTTTGCATTTTGGAAGCCACTGGTTGTCGACAATCCCCCGGGCCTTTGATACGTGCCGTGGCCCATGCCAGAGATGAGCTGGAGAAGAGCCACATACCTCCATGCCCCTTGGGTTTGGACTCACACTCTTCATCTCTTTTCCCATTCAGATTCACATTCAGTTAATGATGATTAATTAAATCGCATTCTTCAGCCTGTGTGCCTCCAGTTCAGCTGCCGATTGATTTTGCTCATGTCTCTCAAATTCCATTTTTGTAAAAGCATTTTGAAGGATTGTTTGCACGTGACTTTGATGAATGTCCTTGCTCGAAGCATTAAAGTTGTGATTGATCATGCAGCTGAATGTCAGTACAAATGAAGGTACGAGAAGATTTAAACCACTTCGCAGTGCTACTTGCACATTGACAAAGCAATGCAGAAATAGTGCATATTTCAAAAAAAGAAAATTGGGTGAGGGGCTACGTCTAAATTACTTAAAGGCACAATATGTAAAAAACTACTAGACCACTTGTGTACTTACGTTATCCCAAATGTTTCAAAGAATGTTTAAATCCAGAGAAATAAGCAATTTTGTCTAGTGACACGGACCGTGTCTATAGTGTCACTGTGTCGCCTGCCAATGACGTCATAACCACTCGATTTCCGATTTTTGTTTTGTAGAAAACATGAAACACCAAAGACGCTTTAATATGTTGTGCGTTTTATTAGACAGGTGACGACTGCACAGAGTAGCATTATAACAGAACTTTCAAATGTATCTAGTATGATAAAACGCATGACTTGAAGGAAAACTCCCCTGTTTTCGAGCCGTGTCGCGCTCGTTCAGCGGCCTCGTTATGCTTCGACGGCTTTCAGCCTCACCCTGCTTCATTCTACTACGTTAACAAATCATTAGCTCATCCATGAACATGATTTCTGCCCGAGTCCCGTCGGATTGCATCGGCTGTGGGGATGAAGACGACAACACCCATGATTCCACACTCAGTCACGGCGTCATCAAACTACGCCTTTGCTACTTTGTTTATTTTGAATACGGCGCCCTCGAGAAATTACATATTGTGCCTTTAAGGGAAACTGAATATTGGTGGTGGGATGTAATGCCTACTGGGATCAAAGTAAAATTTTGCTCCGAGCGCTTTCAGAGGGTTTGTCTGAAGGACAATATAGAGGCTGCCCTGCAGATTCCCCCAACAAAGCAATTGAAAGCAATTAATTTGTGAGCAGTTTGATCAACAGTGATCGTTGGTTATTAGTTCAGCGACACAAGAAACACCAAAGACGCTTTAATATGTTGTGCGTTTTATTAGACAGGTGACGACTGCACAGAGTAGCATTATAACAGAACTTTCAAATGTATCTAGTATGATAAAACGCATGACTTGAAGGAAAACTCCCCTGTTTTCGAGCCGTGTCGCGCTCGTTCAGCGGCCTCGTTATGCTTCGACGGCTTTCAGCCTCACCCTGCTTCATTCTACTACGTTAACAAATCATTAGCTCATCCATGAACATGATTTCTGCCCGAGTCCCGTCGGATTGCATCGGCTGTGGGGATGAAGACGACAACACCCATGATTCCACACTCAGTCACGGCGTCATCAAACTACGCCTTTGCTACTTTGTTTATTTTGAATACGGCGCCCTCGAGAAATTACATATTGTGCCTTTAAGGGAAACTGAATATTGGTGGTGGGATGTAATGCCTACTGGGATCAAAGTAAAATTTTGCTCCGAGCGCTTTCAGAGGGTTTGTCTGAAGGACAATATAGAGGCTGCCCTGCAGATTCCCCCAACAAAGCAATTGAAAGCAATTAATTTGTGAGCAGTTTGATCAACAGTGATCGTTGGTTATTAGTTCAGCGACACAACAAAGTTGAAGGCTCAACTTTATGCAAATGAGTAGTTATTCAATAAGGCAGCTACCAATAGGAGTTCAGACACTGGTGCACATGTAGTTCGTGTAATTCCTGTGATGTAATCAAGTGTAGGCAAGAAAATAAAAATGGCATCTTATTTTTGGC